ATTTTGCATTTCACGGAGTACTGAGCTGCCGGCGGAAACAACATCCACTCCGTCTTCCTTCATTTCGGCATTGATTCCAGCAGTATCGTCAAAAATACCACGCATAGCAATAGCCTTGCCGAGGTTTGGGTCGGGAATCTCGATGATGGTTATACAGACGGTATCTCCATTGTCTTCGGCTGATGTAGGTGTTCTATGACCATCCAATGACTCTTGGCCATCACGAATACGGGACATCTGAAGTGCAATGGCTTCGTTTGCCTTGGTGACAACCCAATCGACGAGGGCCTCATATAATCCTCCTACTAATACCCGTCTATCATCTGTTGAACATTGTCGAGCCAAGACTTCCGGGTCAAGACCCAAAAGGCCACCAACATCTTCGCAGACGTCATCAAGTACCTCGTCATCGACGTTGTAGTCAAGGGTATTGCCAAGCTTGAGAAGTCCAGCAAGGGTTGAAATGAAGTCTCGGTGAGCAGATCCCTTAATGCCAATTTCTTTTAGGGCAGCACGGAAGTCATCTGCAGCAGCTCCATCATCGGCGGTTGGGAGATAAGAGGGGGGGTTGTATGTACCAGACTTGGCCAACAACGAATAGGCAGAGGCCGATTTAAGACCGAGAAATTCTCGTTCAGCCGGAGTCGAGGCTGAAGTTAAAAGATAGTAGAAGACGTCAAATGCACGGTATCCAGCTTCAGCAGGTATATCAAGCAGGCCCTTTACGGTATCGATGCCACCTTGCGATAGCGCCAAACTAGCTGCAGTTAAGTTTCCAGCTAAATTTAGTGTCAAGGTTACTGCAAGGGCAGACTGCCGCGGCGTAGATGGGTTGTAAGGGGTCACGCAACGTATAAACGGATTGATTGCTTCTAGAGCAGTTAATAGAGAGGAAGGGATGGAAATAGGTAAGGACGTGAGAAAAGGGTTCAGTAGTGAGGGGGTTGACTGATGAAGAGACCTAGATATCTAATAAGCAACGACTTCATGTAGACTGGACAATGACCCAAAACTACATACCCTAGAACAATGCAGCCATCTTCTGCTCGTCGCCTAGCGTGTTCCCATGCCCTAGCTGCCAAATCGTGATCTACTGTCCCTCCAGTCTTGCCGTCCGGTCCTGCTTGGGTAGCAGTGAGCCATGTGTTAACGACGAGGCTTGTTCCGGCATCGAGTCTGTAGGGTTGGGATGACATATAGATATTATGAATGCCGTTTAAGAGAGTAGTCGTCGAGACTTGAGTAGATTGTTGACCGGCACCTCGTGGTCCTCCCATAGCATCGGAAGCCACCGAGTACATGGACATTCGTGCTTGGTGATTAGCCATGTTGAACTCGATTAAATCGTGTTGCCCTTCCGGACAACAACGACAGGCCTATACTCTCGAATGTTGCAAAAGAGCAGCGGAGACCAGTAGCAACGCCAAATTCGAATTCACAGAATTCTTTTGTTCTGAACTATAGGCGAAGGATTATTGAGACGTCGGTATATTAATGGGTTCGACGGGTAGTGAGCGAATGTATGTCGAATAGGTTCGGGATGGTAGAGTATCGGGAGGAATAAGGAAAAGGATTTCGCTTTGCAATAGACTGAATAGCGAATGGCATGAACTACCTCTCTTATCCCCTGATCGTATAAGACAATTACAAGCGATAGCAATTATTAAAAGCGATAGACTATCGTGTCACCAAAGCGAGTGAGGTAACTAACAAGAGGATTGGAAAATAAGGGAAGCGACGACAAAGTTGAGGCTTGCAACAACAAGACAGTAAAACAGATAGGTGACTGTGGGATAATCCTCCCCTATGGTTTGTATGGTTGGAAGTAAGGAAAATAATGGGCAGACTGGGTCAGCTGTAGAAGAGTACATGATACAGTGCGAGTGAATATCTTGGCGTATAACCTAGAATAGTCTAGCGTGTATCTAATTTTTGCTTCCCCTGGGGAGGCTCTGGGAAGCCACAGGGCGGCCTGGGTGGTTAGGGTGGTCTAGATACGAAGTGACTAACGCTAATAGATGGCCGTTGATTTTTACGGTGGAAACCGTGATTAGTTCCCATTTGCCATCGAGGCGTCGCTGATCCTTTTTCTCTTTTTTTCTGCTGACCCTAATAGCTGGGAAAACCCCCTGTCCCCTCTCCGCTCCAATTCCCTATTTCATCACTAACGCAAGGATTTCATCAGGGAATTCATAGGCGATCATTACTGACTGATCGCTGATCCAGTACGATACAGTACTCCCCCAATTCCCCGTACTCTATATACATACCTACATAACTCACTTGAACACTTATGTATTAGTTGCTCTACGAGTTCGGGAAGAGATTGACGAGCTTGACGTGGCAGCAATGGACGAATAGCATTGCAGGTATTTAGTTGGTTATTCATGGCATGATACATTGGCATGGGATGATTCTGGTTTTACACGACTAGGCCTGCGAGCCTGCGCGTGTTTGGACCGCTGGTGAGGAGGGCGGGGGGTCGAAATACGAAGCGGCCAAATGGGGACAACAGGACTCGGCAGGTCAATAGCCTTCTCGAACCCGTTTGCACCACTTTTATTGGTATCTTTTGTCTCATTCCTCAATTGCCATAGCCACACCCATAATGCACATAATGCACACACCACATTAATACGAGAACAACCTTCTGTCATATTTTTATTTTTATTTTCCATCTTTGTTAGCCAAGTTACATATTCTCAGCTATTAGAGCTTTTATTGTTCGTGTTGCTAATTCGGCCAAAAATTAATGCCGTTCAGATGTATGTAGATACCTACATATGTACGAAATACACGATACAACGGTAGGAACAGTTACATACCTAAGTACATGTATCGAGTATTGGCGGATGCTAATTCAGTCTCCGGCTCGCGAATAACCTTAATATTATACCCAGCAAACAAAAGCTTGATGACGGGACCTTAGTTATCTTCCTTGGTAGATAACTTTATTTCAAATGACTTGCGTTGCCTGCGGCACGTCAGTCGCCGGCAAGCTTCAATGTTGAGAGCAAGTCATTCCTGTCACAATATAGTTTTCACTGCACATCTCGGTCTGATCTATCACCCATCTTACGTCGCCGGGAATAAGAAATGTAATAGCCAACTCCTATTCAAATTACCCAATCTACCTCCCTAGGTATCTACATAGGTATAACTATAGGTACCTAACCTTTTTCTCGTCAGCGGCTAGCCGTCATTTTTTACAGCTCGACTCCCAGGTTTGTTCGGAAAGCATTGTTTGCGTCTCTCAAAAGCTGAGTTGCAACATATGACATCAACTAGTTACCCCCTGGCCTTCCTTCAAAAATTGTTGGTAAATACCTACCTAGGTACCTAACCTATGCAGCCCGCCATTTTTTGCTTAGAGCTATTATATATGAATGATATATATATAATACGTGAACCTCGAAGTGCATATGCGTGTGTCACCATGCAGGGCGTTCTTAGTTAAGTAGTTGTCTGGTCAGTCCGATCGATGACAACCTGTTGAACCTATCACGTCTATAATTTATATAAACAGTGGCGTCGGTTTTAACTTGGATCGGCCGGTCAAATGTGGACAACAACAAGTAAGGTTGTTGACTCTATCTAAGACATACAGGTAGGCATAAATAGAAAATACACTAAGTATGAATGCTATTGGCGTCGCGCTATTGTCCTACATAGTATGTATTGGAATTGCTGTCATATGCCAATGAGTATGCATAACATATCAGGAATGCGTAATACATAGTAAACAGAGACGACCCTTTATTTTGTGTATTTTATTTCCCTGCCGGAATCTACCTCTTAGTATACCTATTTATTCCAATGCCGGATTAGTGGAGGAATTCCGGTTTGATAAATACAACACGACGGTAAACTAACATCGCTAGTTCCTCAGCCCTGGAGTAATGCTGTCATTGGTTCCCTATTTGAACTTGTAACTCATTCAAACTTTTTTGTACCCCTGCCTCCGCTGGCCCCGTACAAGTGCTACGTATGGGTCAGATTCTAGATCTGGCAGTGTTAGGTTAGGGAACATCTTCTTAAGTGTTTCCACGCATTCTTGATTGAAGTTTATATGCACAGCTTTTGACGGGGAAAGCAAAGATCAAAAAGATGTCCATGGTATGAGTAAAAGGACAAGACTTGTATATACGAGACCAGCCGAGGCCCAATGGAGGTCATCCCCGTATCGCATTAAATCTGCAGGTATCCAAGAAAATTCCGGGCGGTTCGATCGATGTTCGTGAGACCAGCTAACGTGCTTAGAGCTTAGCACGAGACGCCAGGATTAATTACTGTGCTTTATACGGAGTACATGTCATAGATCTTCCCTCCACTACGTAATGTATGTAAATAATGTACATGATCACTCATTTCATGCTTTGAAATACATACATGTAAAGTAAATAAGTATCTTGTCAGCGGGTCACAGCGCACCTCCCTAAGACTTCGTATGATCTTGCACCCTACTTGCACCCGCGCCTCGGGAATCCCTGTAAGCTAGCCAAACCGGGTACTTATGCAAACTAATTGTAAGCAAAATCGTGCACTGTACGGCAGGTACCTGAGTAGTTGTACAAAAATAAACTGCCCAAGGGCAAAGCCGTCTTGAACCCAAGTCCCCTTTCATCTGAACCGTCTACCCAAGAAGCAACATCGGAGAGAGCCTCAGTTTTTTTTTTGGCTTTCCCTTGTTCTTGTCTATTTCCCTTCGCTTTTTATATTTGCTACTACACTCGTTTCTGTATGCAACTATACACTCGCTACGCGTAACTTGGATTCCTGTTGGAGACAATCTGTAGCTTGTTAGTTCATCCATTAAAAAAAACCGGCAGAAACAAAAAGAACGTCTGTTTCGTTCGCCGTCGTAAATCTTGGATAACCAACTCTCAACTTTTAACAGCGAATCTCACCTAGGTATCCTTGGAGCGTCAAATTGACGCTGAACGACTCCTTTTGAGTAGTCGGCCTGTTGATAGGTGCCATCTTTTGGCCCTCCATCCAACATGGCTCTCAATCTCCCATCTATGGGTGGGAGCGGAGGTGCTCATACCCAGCCCTCTTTACCCTCTTTACCTACCCATCTCCAGTCCGATACTCACTTGACAGCACATCTTGCCAGTCGTTTTCACGTATCTATCCCGACGGCTCGTTTATCCTCGCATGCCCTCATCTCTCTAAATACGTATACCACGTCGACAAAGGGTCTCGATGGAGGCAAGGAAGGAAGCGCCATGGCTGGCGCTGAAGATATGGCCGACAGGGCCTTTCTTAGATTGGGACATCGAACAGAAAACCAGGCGGTTTTGTTCCTGTATGTCATCTCGATGTAAACGCAGACTTGCTCAGTAAGAAACAGCTAACAGTAAACCTGCAGGGGTGAATCTGGCTCCGGGAAAACCACCATTCGATCACACCTCTTAACCTCGCTCTTGAACAAGTCTTCCACGCCGCTATCTAGTAAAATTTCACTGGCCGCTTATGTTTTTGATACCCTCACAACGACGAAAACAGCGACGACCCCGACAGCTTCTAAGGCCGGTCTCTTCTACGAGCTTCAATATGATACCGCCTCAAGCACCAACCCCCTTTTACTTGGTGCCAAGCTATTAGACCATCGTCTAGAAAGGAGTAGGATTACCGATGTACCTACGGGAGAGCGTAACTTCCACGTGTTGTACTATCTTCTTGCCGGGACGAGCGAGGCTGAAAAAACTCATCTTGGTATTGACACTCCTAGAGATACGGCTGGACATAGACGCTGGAAGTATCTCGGTCACCCTACACAGCTTAAGGTAGGAATCAACGATGCCGACGGATTCCAGCTCTTCAAGACAGCTCTACGAAGATTAGAATTTCCCAGAGGTGAAATTGCCGAAGTCTGTCAAATCCTGGCCTGTATCTTGCATATTGGACAGCTAGAGTTCGAGACAACTGCGAATACCACGGCTACTGGAGACGATAGCGGTGGTTTCTCTCATGAAGGTGGTCAGAACATCACCGCCGCGCGAAACAAGGATGTACTAGGTATAATCGCTGCCTTCCTAGGTGTTAGTTCGCAAGACCTTCAAAACACTATGGGGTACAAAACTAAGATGATCCATCGCGAACGCGTAACGGTTATGTTAGACCCTAAGGGTGCCCGTGCCAATGCCGATGAATTGGCTAGGACTTTGTATTCTCTCCTGGTCGCTTATGTCATTGAGAACATCAACCAGAAGATATGCGCTGCTGAAGAGTCTATCGCGAACACCATTAGCATCATTGATTTCCCCGGCTTCTCTCAGCAGTCTTCGACTGGATCCGCCCTCGACCAACTCCTCAACAACGCTGCGGTTGAATCGCTTTACAACCTGACTCTTCAAAACTTCTTCGATCGCAAGGCAGATATGTTAGACACTGAAGAGGTCGTAGTCCCCGCTACAAGCTATTTCGATAACTCGGATGCTGTTAAGGGACTTCTCAAGCCTGGAAATGGCCTACTCAGCATATTGGACGACCAAACTCGACGACATCGTACAGATATGCAACTTCTTGAAAGCTTGAGGCGGCGATTCGAGGGTAAGAATCCAGCAATCAACGTGGGCTCCGCAACGGCTAGGCTACCTGGAAGCAACTTCCTTTCAGAAAATACCGCAGCGGCCTTCACAGTCAAACACTTTGCTGGTGAAGTTGACTACCCAATTAAAGGGCTAGTCGAGGAGAACGGCGAAGTCATATCCAGTGATGTGATGAATTTGATTAAGTCGAGTAAGAGCGAATTTGTTACTCGTCTTTTCGGTCAAGAAGCTCTCCAGACCGTTATGCATCCTCAAGAGAAGACCACGGTTATGCAAGCGTCGGTCAGCTCTAAGCCCATGCGTGCCCCAAGTGTCATGTCGAGGAAGACAACGCGAACCATGGGATCCCGGAGGCCCCGCCGACAGGAATCCCCTGAAGACCTCGTAAGCGAAGCCGGAGATCACAAAGGGGAACCTAGAAAATCCAGCATACATAACTCCGGGCAAGGAGCATCTGGCCAATTTTTATCCTCCCTTGAAAATGTAAAGCAGGCAATCACGGCGACAAACACCAACGTCTATTTTGTATTCTGCCTGAAGCCCAACGATAGACGAATTGCGAACCAATTTGATAGCAAATGTGTCCGCATGCAAGTGCAGACGTTTGGTATCGCCGAAATAAGCCAGCGACTAAGATCGGCCGACTTCAGTTTATTCTTACCGTTTGGTGAGTTTCTGGGTCTTGCCGATGCTGAGACGATCCTCGTTGGCAGCGAACGCGAGAAAGTTGAAGCCGTCGTCCAAAATAAGCAATGGCCCAATAATGAAGTTCAGATTGGTTCTACGGGTGTGTTCTTGAGTGAGCGCTGCTGGATGGAGGTTGCGCAATTAGGCGATGGCTCCTCAGCCGTGAACCGGTTCGCATCCGAGGCTGGGGATGGATCAAGCCCTGGCGAGTTGCCTTTTGGAGCCTCGAAAGAGGGATTAGTCGCCAGCAACGCTCAGCCGTATACTGACAAGCCTCGGGGTGGTTTTTACGGCAGTGGAGGAGATATAGATGCGCGTTCCGAAGCTGGGGTTTCTGCCTTTGGAGCCGGTGACATGTTCAAGAATTTGGACACTAGAGAACAAATGGCTGAGCGTGGAAACGAGAAATCACTCGTGGAAGTCGAGGAATACAAGGACAGTCCCAGTCGAAAACGATGGGTCTTCCTTGTGATGTTCTTAACTTGGTTCATCCCCGACTTCCTCATCCGCTGGATGGGTCGGATGCCTCGCAAAGATGTTCGGCAAGCTTGGCGTGAAAAGGTGGCTATCAACATGATGATCTGGTTCAGCTGTTTGGTTGCCGCCTTTTTCATCATACTCTTCCCTCAACTTGTTTGTCCCAAGCAATATGTTTACAGCTCCGAAGAACTTACATCCTATAACGGTAAAGACGGGGCCGAGTCTTACGCGGCAATCCGTGGTCAAGTCTTCGACATTGGCAGTTATGCCCCAAGCCATTACCCACCATATCTTCCTTCCAAGTCCTTGACGCAGTATGCCGGGCTCGATATCACATCTTTGTTCCCTGTCCAAGTATCGGCTCTTTGCCGGGGCAAGGATGGCACAGTCAACCCTGCAGTAACACTGGACTATAAATCGACAAACGTTAGTGGCTCGGCAAATGTCATCAATAGTCAAGATTTGAATGCTCATTACCACGATTTCCGATCCTTCACCTCTCTGCCCCAACCTTTCTGGTTCTATGAAAGGATGCAAAAGATGAAGCCCTGGAAGAAGGGTACGATTGGTTTCTCTCCAGAGTATGTTGCAACTCTCGGAGGCAAGCAAAATTCAATTGCTATACTGAATGGTCGTGTGTACGACCTAACAAAGTATCTCGTGGGCGGTCGACACGTCGTGGTTAGAGAAGGCGAAGATCTTCCAACCGATCCTACAATTGTGGATTTTATGGACGATACTGTTGTCGATCTCTTCCAGCAAATGAAGGGTAACGACGTTACCAAGCAATGGAATTCCCTTGATATCGACGCAGGTCTCCGCAGCCGCATGCAACTATGTCTCGATAATCTCTTCTACGTCGGCGATGTTGATACGCGAAATTCCACTAGATGCCAGTTCGCCAATTACCTTGTTCTTGCTGTCTCTATCCTACTCTGTGCCATCATTGGCTTCAAGTTCCTCGCTGCCCTTCAATTCGGAGGCAAAAATATACCGGAGAATTTAGATAAGTTCGTTATGTGTCAAATCCCCGCATATACCGAAGACGAAGATTCTTTGCGTCGCGCTATTGACTCGGCTGCCCGTATGCGATATGATGACAAACGCAAATTGCTTGTCGTTATCTGCGATGGTATGATTATCGGCCAAGGTAACGATAGGCCAACCCCTCGTATCGTCCTCGATATTCTCGGCGTTTCTGAGACAGTTGATCCCGAACCGCTCAGCTTCGAATCTCTCGGTGAAGGTCTCAAGCAACACAACATGGGCAAAGTGTACTCTGGTCTTTATGAGGTTCAGGGTCATATTGTTCCCTTCTTAGTCGTCGTCAAAATTGGTAAGCCATCAGAGGTTTCCCGTCCCGGAAATCGTGGTAAGCGAGATTCGCAGATGGTCATGATGCGTTTCCTCAACCGCGTTCACTACAACCTGCCTATGAGCCCTCTAGAACTAGAGATGTATCATCAAATCAGGAACATCATTGGTGTTAATCCAACATTCTACGAGTTTATGTTTCAGATCGATGCCGATACAGTAGTTGCGCCCGACTCGGCGACGCGCATGGTTTCCTCATTCCTAGATGATACACGACTTATCGCTGTCTGTGGCGAAACAGCCCTAACCAACGCAAAGTCCTCATTTATCACTATGATCCAGGTCTACGAGTACTACATATCGCATAACTTGATCAAGGCTTTCGAAAGCCTGTTCGGCAGTGTAACTTGTTTGCCCGGTTGTTTCTCTATGTATCGTATCCGAGCCGCCGAGTCTGGCAAGCCACTCTTTGTCAGTCGCGAGGTCGTTGAAGATTACGCAACAATTCGTGTCGATACCCTGCATATGAAGAACTTGCTTCATTTGGGTGAAGATCGTTATCTAACAACTCTACTCCTCAAGTATCACTCAACGTATAAGACCAAGTATATCTTCAGTGCTCACGCGTGGACAATCGCACCGGACTCCTGGCAAGTTTTCCTGTCACAGCGTCGTCGTTGGATCAACTCAACAGTACATAACTTGGTGGAACTCATTCCTATGGCACAACTCTGCGGTTTCTGCTGCTTCAGTATGCGATTTGTCGTGTTTGTCGATCTATTGTCGACGGTCGTCCAGCCTGTGGTTATAGCATACATCGTGTACCTCATCGTTCTAGTGAGTACTTCGAAGAGTGTTATACCGATAACGGCCTTCATCATGCTTGGCGCTATATACGGTCTCCAGGCAATCATCTTTATCCTACGTCGCAAGTGGGAAATGATCGGATGGATGCTTATGTACATAGTGGCTGTTCCGGTCTTCTCATTTGGTCTGCCTTTATATGCCTTCTGGCATATGGATGACTTCAATTGGGGTAATACTCGTGTTGTCGCCGGAGAAAAGGGCAAGAAAATTGTCGTCACGGATGAAGGCAAATTTGATCCCGCTTCGATCCCACGTAAGCGGTGGGAAGAATATCAGGCTGAGCTATGGGACGCTCAAACTAGCCGAGGGGATGATGTACATTCCGAAGTCAGCGGTTTCAGTTACGCCACCAAGCAGGGAATGAACGTCGGTGTAGCCGAGTACTATGCTTCGTCTAGGCCTGGTTCCACTACTGGCATGGTCCCTCCGTACGACTTGAAAAATCCTAACCATCTCAGTCGTATGTCGTTCGCTCCAACTGAAAACCGAATGAGTCAATTTGGCGGTTCGCAGTTCTTGGGCACCCAGATGCACGATGTAGAGATGGCCAACCTAGCAGGCATGCCAAGCGATGATGCGCTGCTAGCAGAAATACGGGACATCTTGCGTACAGCAGATCTCATGACTGTAACTAAGAAGGGTATTAAGCAGGAGTTAGAGAGGCGGTTTGGTGTTCCTCTTGATTCCAAGCGATTATACATCAATAGCGGTATGTCTCCATCTTTTCTCCCCTTTATGATGATGCAAACACTAACAAAACATAGCGACCGAGGCCTTGTTGACTGGCCAATTATAGAATCTGGTTAATATGTAGTCCAATATTACGGTTTCTGCTATCATATTTCTGCATATATTTAAATGGCCATGTTTTCACTATTTATATAATACCGCTGCATTACATATTTCAAAGGGGAGCAACTCACCACAGGCCAGACGTGGGTAGGACAGGAAATTCATCGGAGGTTAGGAGTCAACAAAAGCAGAATTGACAAGCTACTCTTGGTTAATAACCAAGTTAAAGCGGTGCCTGATCTTGATACGCCCGCAATAATAATGGGAATAATCTTGTTAAATTACTAGTCTTATATCATTTTGATCAATATGTAGCCAAAGAGAATAGAGTCTTGAGGCTTCAACTGAACTACTTTCTTTGAGTTAACTAGAGGTAGTTTATCAAAGAAAGCCTCATATTGATCATTATCAGCAGTTAGTCGCCAGTAGTCTAAATACTTCTAATATATTAAACCCGACCGCTTACCACTCCATATCTAACCAGGCCAAGTACGGCTCCCAGGATTATAGCGATTGGCGGTGCCACACCGAAATAACGGCCCCCAACATAGGCCGTCGCAGTTACAATTACCCACCAAGGATCATCACCAAGACTCTTCCCAGACTGGAAACCTTCGTCAATATAGCCCACCTGCCAGATTCTATACACAGCCGTATAAATCAGCCCAACGGCGCCAGCGTTAATACCTCTCACTCCAGATTTTACCCAGCGCCTACTTCGCAATACCCTCCAGATCCCCATTGTACCATGAACCAGGACGATCCCAGGGAAGAAAATACCACAGAATGCGACGATTGCTCCGGTGATAGAAGGATATCCGTGATTAATAGCCGTTAAGCCACCTAGGAATACGGCAAAGTTGAAATTTGGACCCGGAAAGGCCTGCGCGATAGCAAGACCAATGAGAAAGTCGCGAGGACTAACCCAGCCTTGAGCCACCACGTATTCTCTTAGAAGCGGGATCACAACCGGTCCACCGCCAAATATGATCGTACCAGCAAGGTAAAGGTTAGCAAAGAGTCTGTATAGCACAGGTAGATCAGGCAAAGTCCCTCGGAGTACCATAACGACGATAAACGAGATGAAGAAGGTAAATATGATGGTAGTTCCCGACTTCCATGAAAAATCAAGAAAATATCCGGGCGGAATAATGCGCGGCTCGGAATAATCTTCTGTCCTGTTCTCATGCTGATTGTTGAGAGACATGCTGGGGTTATTAGTTTCCCTTAAGTCGCCTTCATGACGAGTTGTATCCCCTTCTAGATGCGTGGAGCTCCTTATTCTCAAGAAAGCATCCCTTGTAACGAACCACAGCTGTTGTAGCCAGCGATAGTCATATATGACAGCAGTGCATGCACTAGCAAGCATAAGGATTGGGAAATACCATAGTGCGTTATATAGCATTCCTGCGGCAGCGGTTAAGAAGACGATGATTCTAGTAAGCTTGTCTGTGATTGCTTTATTAGACAGATCGACAGCCGCCAGGGCAATAATGCCGACTGTAGCAGCATTAAGTCCAGAGAGTAAGGCGTATACGGCTCGGGGAAGAGCTTCTCCAATGTTAGAGACGCCTATAGAAAGGCCGAACATGCCTAACGCCCCAGGTAAACTATTCACGGATGCATCGTCCTTAGTTCAGACATGCATGGATGATAATATAAAGGTTGCGAGTTTCGAGCCTACCTCCAGATAAAAAATGCGAGAATCGCTCCAAAAAACCCATCCTGAATGAGGTTCACACAGTAGAGCATCTTCGTACTAGCAGGACCAGAGAGAGCTTGGCAAATGCTGAAAAGTTCTTGGTACTAGAATATGATGATATTATTAGCTTATCATGTGAGAATATCGTCCAACATCAACAAACTTACCACCTGCTCATCGACCCAAGTGAGTTTGGACACGAACTTATGGTGAAACTATAAGAATTATTAAACCCGTTCATCGGTTTGGAAGACGAGAAAGCTTTAGGAACCTACGATCCTGAAATGAACAGGGGGTCCACCAAACGAGGTGAACCCAAGATGCCAATTCACTTTGAGCGTCTTCCAACTTCGCCGTGCGACTCTCCATCCAGCCTCCTCCCAAGAATTACCTATCATTTTAGATATATAACCCGGCTATAGCGCCGCGTTGTCGTTATTGAAATACAGACTTGAGAGCAGCGTGGAGGAACGCGATGGAGTCATACTGGACATGGCAAAATTGAACTATTATCGGATTGAAAATTAACCCGGAGTCCAATAGTCTTGTCGAGTTAAAGGCTTGGTATTTCCTCTTTGGGGAAAGATGTAGTGTTAGGTAGCCTCAGCTAACTACGTTCAAAGGAGCTTGAGCTTGATCAAAAGAGGTAGCCAAGTCGGCCTAGCTTCATGACGTGATAACATAGAGTTATATAATTAGGAGTAGTTAGATGAATTATATACTCTATAGAAGTAGCAACTTATTTCCTAGGTGGTTATGAGGCTGAAATTTCTTGTATTAGGTACCTCTCAACCGGTATTCTTGGGCTTCGTGATCATTAACTACCTCTTATCAGCTTTTCATTTTCTTTTTAGAGCTAAGCTAGCTTAATATGAGCCTAGTTTAAGGCACAACGAAAAAAGGGGCTATATCATTAGTTAGTATAATGGTTTGCAAGTATTCTTGGTTTCTAGAAAGGAAAGTTAATCGAGACCCTATTTCCCTACTATATCTGCCAAATATTAATGAACTCGAGATCGCATCTATACCACGCTTAAATACTTTCCAGTTACGAGTTTTATAACGATCCAGCTTATTAGATGGAAGCGTACCAACCTAGCTAGTGTTTCTCGATGTCTTAGCTATCGCAGTATCTAAGCTTACATGGTAAAGGATCTGTTAACCCCGATATAAGCACGCTGCGGATATAAATGAATTATCTTATAGGTCCTAGAGATAGGACTAGGTAACATTATAGGATTGGCTAGGGGGCTAAAAACGACTAACGGTACGGGCCGCTCTATGGTTCATTAGTGTGCATTAGGTAGTAATTCACTATAGTTAGTTAAAGACTTTTCTGAATCTTCTTATAACTCTTAATTAATCGTTTTAAAAAGGCATATAAAAGCATGTAAAAGAATATAAATAGTATAAGCATAGGCTTGTTCTTGTTTTTATATCTCAGGCCATATTACAAGCCAAGTAGCATGTGCGACATGCTAAATACCGCCAAGAATATACAGCAAGGCTCGATACTACCTCCTGGTACATTGGATCCATATATTTCTGTGTACGCTCTGACTCCTAGGTGGCTATGCTACAGCTGAAGTGTAATAGTAGCACGATTTAGTAAGACCATTCGTTTATAGAATCATTAATTCTTGAATTGAAAACCCCAACTCTCTTCAACCGACTTCTTTTTAGCTTGAAAGCTAATGCCAAATACATATCTAGAGTTCATATTTACAGATTGCGATTAGTTGCGTCCTGCTTATGTCACCCTATAACCGACGAGATGAAGAGGGAAATTAACGTGACCAATGAGTCCTATCCAGAAAATCCACAGCTAGAGCAGTACACTGCAATGCCAGCCGAGTTTAACCAGGAGTCCGCCAACAGGTTAGGAGAAGAATTAAGATATAATTCCTACTATGATATTAGCTCCGGGAATCGAAATGCAGGCTCTGGCAACAGGAATTCGGCATATGATAGCCTACTGATGGAACCGATAAATGAGCCAGGAGTAGATGAAAAGAAATCCGTTGTCAGGGGTCCTCGACGACGACTATTCAGAAGCTGGATGTGGGAAATCGGCGCATGCTTTCTTAGCCTCGCTAGTATTGCATCCGTGATAGCGGTTCTATCCGTCGAAAACCACAAACCCCTGGATCAGTGGGATTGGAGCATAGGTCCGACAGCTGTAGTATCCTTCATCGCGACGATCGCGAAGTCCGCCATGTTAGTCGCTATAGCTGAGGTTCTTAGCCAACTTAAGTGGCAGCATTTTCATGGCCAGAGCCATCCTCTGATTGACGTTGAGATTTTCGATGGGGCTAGTCGGGGACCATTAGGGGCGTTCCAGCTCTTGTGGAGGAAAAATATTCGGACGCTGCTGGCATCCTTGGCTGCGATCGTTGTTATAGTGTCAATGCTCGTCGACCCGTTCGTGCAATTGGTTTTTGAATTTCCTGCTCTGTCCCAGCCGGTTTCGACTGCCAGCGCACTCTTAAATCAGACGCAAGTATACGATCCGAATGGGTATATCATAGATGCCCATCTTACGGGGACTACAGGTAAGTTAAGGCACTTTTGTTATGACTTATAACATTATAAAGGTTAAACAAGAATCGCGATTGGCACATTACCTAGTCAAGAAATGGATGCAATGGATACAATGGGTGTATCATTGGCCAAGGCGTGAAGTTATCAGAGTCCTGTTGACTTCCGGGGTTTCCCCTATTATTTCTCTTAGGCACTTGGGCATATGGTATCAAGTTCAAGCGTTAACTAATATCAAACTACAGCGTCGGCTGTCAACGCACAGATGCAAGCAGCAATTATCAAAGCAGTTTCCGAACAGCCACAACCGCCCGCAGCTACCTGCAGCACTGGAAACTGTACATGGCCTCCTATCACCACACTTGGGGTCTGCGCCGACTGTACAGATGTTACGCCACAAGTCAATATAAGTTGCCCCGGCCCCACGGAAGCAAATCATGGGCAGTATCAATGTGACTACGGCATGCCGTCGGGACGTAATATATCTAGCTTTATGTTCCGTGCCGGTGCTTCAGGCGATGTTTTCCCTACGAGGTGGAATTCTTCTGCCCTTTCGCTTGGCAATAATCCCGGGGATGCAGGCTCAGATGCGCTCTTGGCCTACGTAGAAGCTGTGCAACTCAAAGCAGCATTTGATTATGGTACTGACGACATGTCATCGATACTTCGGCAGCCAACTGCTTGGACGTGTACCTTCGCCCTTTGCGCTAAGACTTACGACAGTCTAAGCATGACGAATGGAGAAATTAGCACCTCGACACCAACCGAAAACCTTATGGTTCTCACCGGCAATATTACCAATGGAACTACACCTGTAGGGGGAGGACTTTCTGGCTTGTCTTTTTACCAAGGGCTGAGGGCCAACTCCAGCTCGTCTTCGGAAGATACGTACCGTATCAACCAAGCAGATTATGCGAATTTGGCAAATTACCTCAGCGAGCTTTTTTCTACAGGTTGGGGCGAAAGAGGGTTTGGGGCGTCGAATCGCGTACAGCAGTCAACTGCACCGAACCTGGGATGGGGGCTCTCAGAAGCCGATGACCTTGCGCAGACGGTCCGAAGCATTGCTGAAGGTATGACGGAGATTATGCGAAACAGCCGCAACAGCACGCCTATAGCAGGAGAGGCGCTCCGTACTCAGGTCTACATCGAAGTCCAGTGGGGATGGGTTGCATTACCTATTACCCTCATCGTACTAAGCCTCTTCCTCCTCGTGGTCATGGTTGTAAGGACTCATAGGAGCGACTTACCCGTCTGGAAGAGCTCTAGCATAGCCCTCCTTTCTCACGAAGTGAATGGCTGGACTCCTGGGAGTGGAGTCATGCGAGAGACCTCCACACTGAATAAGGAGGCAAGAGATATATCGGTCAGGCTGCTGAGCGACTCACAGGACATGAGGTTCGTCAAGAGTTAAGGAATATAAGAAGATTATGATCGGGATGACGAATGTATGAAATGGATATTAAATATAAATCAGAATTATGAGTATAAACGGTTATTTATTAGCCTCGTCTTTAGGTAATTTTCTAATGGGAGTATTCTGACCTAATAGTTGATGAAATTGTGATAAGAAAACTAACGATGGATTTTGAAGGCCTAGAGTGGTCTTTTGATCCTGAACCGAAAGTGATCAGCCGATCAGGGGTTTCTTTAGATCTGCTGTGTATAGGAGGTACTTACCCGAGTATACTGGGCGATGTAGCGCATTTGTAGCTCAGCCTCTATTTACTGCCGACGGCATATACATTAGATGCAAATGTAGGAGATATTAAAGACGTTATAGTGAATGGCGTGTCCAAGAAGCGCGATGGGAAGCTCGTCATCAAGCATTCAATAGGATACGGACGGGATTAACCAGGCGAAAGTTCAATTGTAATAAAAAATAAATATAAATCCAAAGCATGTTGATTATTATGATAAATTTAGCTGCCAATTTACAAATGATTATTTGGCAAGTCTTATATTACAACGCCAAGTGGTCATAAGCAACAAGGGGCATATCATCACGGGCGTAAGAGGACTTCTAGTAAAGAGCAACCAAGTTCGGGTGGTGTATAATTCTATCGAAATAAATGTACTAAAATGAATGTGAACATAGTCGTACGTATGTTACAAGTCTAGAGCGCGCCTGAAGAACGCGAAATCATGGAATTTGGTATCTCTTCTCGCCAAAGTCCGTCCATCAAACCATCAGAATCTTAGTTAAATTATGCCGAGGTCGAAGCAGGCGGGGCTGATGTGCCGCTGGGGATTCCGCTCGGCACGCCGCTCGGAGGAGGACCTCCAGGGCCGCCGGCACCGGAATCGGGGTTTGCGACACCGCCTTCCTTGTAGTAGAAAGCAGCCGGAGTCACCGACTGAGATGAGGTGGCATTGATACCGAAAGCGACCCAGGCGAAGAGACCATCAGTGATGCTGTCGCCGAGAAGCGTGTATTCAAAGAACGGGTCAACACCTTCGGTTGCCGTCTCCTGGCTTAGAATACCGTCTTCGGCATTCGTGGTCAGCTCTTGGGAGTTGGTAGAGTACGGCGCGGTAAGCTCGACGGAAGAAATCAGATCTTGGTCGAAGAAAGCTTGACCGACGTGGCTGGCGCTCACGTTGTTACCAAGGGTCGAGTTGCCCAAGAGCACGGCATTCTGGTGAATCATGATGTGGATGTGAGTGGCGCGGCCCGTATAGTGCCCGGGGAATATGGACTCGAACTGAGCGACGCCGTCGGAATCAGTCTTTTGGATACCGCGGAGCCAGGTATTGTTAATGTTAGTCTCGTCTGAAGAGTCTCCGTTACCGCTTGCGACGATACCGCCGTATACGCCGGTAGCATTGCAATGCCACATCTCTACATAGACGTCGGTAACGGGCTCGCAGGTGTTGACGTCGATTACTTGATAGTCGAGGATGGTATCAACTCCAGCCTGGTCCTCGATGATATTTTGTCGGACATACTCGCCACCGACGTCTTAATCCGGCATTAGCAATTATCACTCGTTGGTACGATCTAGGGCACTTACAGTAGGGACCCTGAGTGACTTCAGGGGTTAAGAGGCAGGAATTATACCCGGCGAAAAGGGTGGCGGCGCTGGTGGAGGGCGTGTAGCCAAGGTCGGTAGAATTGTGGCTAGTAGCCAAGATAGAGTCGAGGTCGCGTTTCTTCAAGCCCCCTATAGGAAGAAGTCAGCATTTGCAGGTCATAATAGGCGCGCAAGACCTTCACATACTCTTAGCCCGAGCTTTTTGGAGCATGGCAGCTCGGCGCTGGACGTTACGATTTGCGACGCCGCGTGCTTTCAGCTGAGAAGCGCAGTGGTCTAAGCTGGTGCGCTTAACGGAGCCGAGAAATTCGCGACGCTCTTTAACTTCTTCGGAGATGTCGTGGCCGGGATGAGCAACAGCAGAGCCGGCTAGCAAGGCTAAGCCAGAGATGATGGATGTAGAGAATCTCATTTTCGCTGGTCAATAAAAAACAATTTTGATATAAATACTAGTAAACGAAGGGAGTATGACTGATAGTCTTTTGATATAAGAGAGCGATGAATCTTGGTGCTCGTATTGTGTTAAATAGACCCGGCCATCGTCGCTCACTTATACTGCTTCACTTCTACTCCATGATGATATCCCATTCTTCTCTTGGCGTTTCTCAAACAACCTGTGGGTCAAGATTCATCATCGTGAGATCTTGGCAGCTGAGGATTACGTATGTATTAGAGATGTTATTATTGGTTGCTTCATGGGGCGCAAGGGTGAATATCATATAGATTTGATCAAGTCTATCCGACACGGCTATGTAGTGGGTTACACTGTTCCCAAAACGGACCTCGTCCGTGATGAGCCCGGCATTCGATATCCTGCAACCACAGGGCTAACAACTAGACCAGGGGTTATCCCGAAGTTCTTACAACAACTGCCGCCAGGTTTCTACCAATGATAATTATTGTATAACAAAGTCGGTCGTAGGAAATAATCCACTTTCTATCTTAAGACCAAAAGCCCGGTAGAAGCTGCGTAAGCCGATCTCAAAGCCTTTTAAAACCCACTTTCATATACTAGCCACTGACTTCTACTCTGGCTTCCAGGGCTTCTCGTGCAAAATATGGGGGGATGTGGGGCATAGACGCGCGTAAGCACCATCTTACCAGGACAATGTTGTCGCGTCAATCAACCTCTCCCTCTTAGATTCTTAGACGTCGAATGTTACATACGCTCCCAACTACTCATTTCCCTACCGAGTGGCGTATAAGATGGGGTACTTATTACTTCATCACGACATTGAGTCAATAGTTATAAAGCGCTATACTAGAATAATCATTAATAAAGTACAATAGCATAAGTCGTGGCATCATAATAACCACATCTGCAAATTGAAAAGAAAACCTCATTAATAGCATGCAGATCACCTTTACAGCAAGGGTATATAAGGTAGCTATCCATTTAAAAGGGGGTATCCTTCTCCTTTTCTTGCTTGCTTTAGCTTCTTACGTTACTCGTGAAGGGATACCATAGTACTTGTATAATTGATCTTTAGACATCGTACTATAGAGATAGGTGTTTTTAACTGGTATCTAAAGGTTGTATAAAGATAATATGATACACTAAGGGGGATCGACATATTCGTTCATCTTTTAATATCAAATAACTATACTTCATGCCTTATTACTTACCGATGCAACCAAGACTTCAACTTTACTCCGTTGATCTATTATTATATCGCAGTCATTCCTTAAGCATGATGCGTGGTCGTTGCCATCCGGGGAAACGAAGACGAAAGCTGGGTAAATACTAAGGCCTAGTCCATACAAACTAAATTCGAGGGACTTTAGAGCTAGTTCTCAAGCTACTACTAAAGCAGTAGTTCGTAGAAAAAAGGGGTTTCGTAAACCTTCATGTCGCTATCCACATGCCAACGTTAGAAGAACAACACATTTATAATCATTTTAAGGATACCTACACGCTCCATGACGCCTTCTCAAGGTACCCCAGTTATGTACCTGACCTATTTGACAGTATGTCTGATTACAGAGCTAGATTGTAAAAGTAAACCAATAAATATAGACACGTAGTATGTCGCAAGGTGGAACCAAACAGCATGGAGACAATTTTGTCGTTCCGCGAGGAACTATAGCCTAGCTACGGCAATCTACTGTCTAGTTGTACACACTGGATATATCTTCTGTTACAGATGCCTCATCTAGAATCTTAAGAGCAGACTGCTATTTAGTAAAATACAGATGCATCCTTACAGCCTATTGACAAAAGAGCTGTTTATCATGTAGCCTCTCTTACAGATATGTATTATCTTGTATTAGCATAGGCAAACCCAAGGTGCAATTCAGGTACCTAAGACGTTGGATTACAACTTCACTCCGCGTCGCCTACTAATCTCTATATAATTGCGTAGGTTAAGGAGCGGGCACTTAAATAAAGAATTCTAGCCAGTCAATTATTTTGTGGTTGCCATATCTTAATTCATTTCATTAAATACCGCCAGATATACCTTTTCATGGCTGTCCATACACAGAGTGAATGTCAGGATAGATAGTATTGGACCTGTAATACCTGGTTTCTACCCTCTTGTGAGGGCGCTGAGCGCCCTTTATATAGGAGATAGACCCCCATAGCTACCCACTTATACCCCGACAAATACTTAGGTAGTTAGGAGATACTCGGATATTTTTGCCTCGTAGAACGACCTTATATTCTGGACATCTTAACGTCATGTTCGATTTCATACTTAGTCCTTTCAAAGCTCTTTAGTAATCTATAAACGTAAAAAATTTGCCTTGGTCCAGCTTAGTCCTAGCCCTCTTCGGTTACATTTGTCCCGATGGAATATTATGTCCGGTGGATACCAGGGTTGTTCGTTGTGCCGCCAGGTGAGGAATTCTGCCGAGGTTGCCGCTCCGCTCGATAGGTCAGGGTAGTCGTACTCCGTTGATGTGATATTTTCCTTATTGGGATTGAGGAAGAATGGACCTAGTGTTCCCGGGTATTAGGGAATTTGATTCTACACGACAGGATTTGTGCGATCTTTGAACGCGTGCGCCGTAACGATACCGCCCCCGGTTTAATTGCTACTACATGGCTTTAGACATAAGTATAAGTGCTGGGTAGGATGTAGGGATTCGAGTATATATGAGTATGCGAAGGGTTGCATATTATGAACATCAATATGCGCCTCGGATAGATCTCTTGGCTCTCTTCAGCGTCTTAGTTGATACACCAGTCACGATGTTAGGCGCATCCGCTTTTCTAGCCTTAGCATGCCTCAGCGAGGGTGCTCTCGCCGCGTTCGGACTTACTACTACAAGTGACAGATACAAGGTTTGAAAATTGTCATTTACGCATCTTAGATTATACAATATCAAGCTAATTATTGCTATACTAGGTTGACACAAATGGCGGATTAGTATTCGAGGTCAATAGGTCCTGACCACTACTCTAGTGATATGACTAGCCAAGCTAAACTATCACAGAGCCAATGGAGATATTACCAGTTTGGTATTCAACGGGGTCGAGTATCAAGGAACCGGAAAGGCATCGGCTATTAATTCAGGCCTCGGGACGTCGCAACTATCCGCAGAGACGATAAGTAACAAGTATATCAAGATTACAGCAAAAGCCAATTCGCTACCCGTAACACAGTACTATATAGCGAAGCCGGATGATCCAACTATCTACATGGCAACATATATCACTGGGGAGGTTGACCCAGGAGAACTCCGATGGCTTGCCCGCCTACGGCAGGAAAATTTGCCTACCGGCGTGCACGGGGACGTCGGCAACACCATCGGTTGTACCGCTTTTGAAGGCAAGGATACGTTTCGATGCCCAAATAAAGAGACTCGCTGCAAGATGTACACGAGCGATCGTTTCATCGATGACCAGATACACGGCGTCTCGGGATCTGTGAGCACCTCGACATAAACTATAACCTATGTAATAAAAAAGCCGACTAACTTCGTTACTGCAGAACGCGGCTGTATGGATGATCATGCCTGGCGTTGCATATGAGACTTCGTCGGGGGGGCCATTCATGCGTGACATCAATAGCCAGACCGTAACCAGCGATCAAGAATTATATTGGTACATGAACAGCGGACATGTTCGAACGGAGCCGTGGCGCTTTGGATTGATGGGACCGTATGCCATGAAGTTTACGTAGGTTCCGAACCCCTTTAACTATCAAAAAAAGAAAAAATCCCATCTTATAACCCTAACAATTTTACAGCAACAAGGCGGACAAGCCTTCTGCTAGCTTAGACACGTCCTTCTTTAGTACTCTCGATATTCAGGGCTACGTACCGGATAACCAGCGTGGTTCCGTCTCCGGTACAGCTTCTGGGGTTCCGAAAGATTTCGAAGCTGTCGTCCACTGGTACAACGACAAATCGCAATATTGGACTAAAGCCGCAAACGGAGCTTTCAAGTCCCCCTTGATGAAGCCAGGCACGTATACCATGAAGCTCTACAAGGGTGAGTACGAGGTAGCCAAAGACACGGTGACTGTTACGGCCGGGAGCGATACGGCCAAGAATATCGCTTCGGCGGAGCCAAATCCCTCGGTCGTGTGGCGTATCGGGAATTTTGACGGACAACCCCTAGAGTTGAAGAACGGAGACAAGATCGAACGGATGCATCCCAGCGATGCTCGCATGGGATCTTGGGGAGGTAATTATACAGTTGGCCAATCCTCCGCGCGCGATTTCCCCATGGCCCTCTTCTCGAAGACCGGCGGCAATGCCAACGTGAACTTCAACCTCGCCGCCAGCCAAGTTCGAGACCTCACGTTGAGGGTGGGAACTACGCTTTCGTTCAAGGGAGGTCGCCCATCTGTAGCTATCGGGAGCTGGACCGGGAAAGACCCTGGTGCTCCGGTAAGTCCATCCAGACCGAGATCGTGCAGTGTTCTTGGCGAAGCTAACATGATATATCTCAGAAATTAATCGATTCTCGCGGGGTTACTCGCGGAGCATATCGCGGATATGGCGAAGTCTACAATTGGACGGTTCCTGCGAGTGCCTTGAAGACTGGGCAGAATACTCTTACGCTTGGTGTATCTGGCTCCGGCGATGCGGACTTCCTCAGTGCAAATTATATCATTGATGCCGTTGAGCTCCAAGGCCCGGCATAAGGTGGTTTAACCATTATCACGAGGCAGACAGCAAACCGGCCATCCACATAGCTATTTTTGTTTATTTTTAATATTGAGAAACCCAAAATGCTGAGTATGTAAAGATGAAAATTTTATCGTATTTTTTATTCTTTCTTCGGTGACGATTTGCGTGTTTTTGTCCTCCGTGATAGAATAGCTGAGTGCCACTGGGACATATAAGGGACCCCCACCATAAGAGCAAATACGCGGTCTCGATGGCGTGCTTTTCTCATCGCAGAACGACCTAGTACCACAGGCTTAGTGCCACTTACAAGTTTATTCAGACAGGAAGCTGACCTTCAATTATATCCTGCGCGAGTATCACTAAAATGGCTGATCCTGAATCTTTTAAAGTTATCATAGCTGGTGGAGGCATTGCCGGCTTGACCTTGGCTCATGCTTTGGAGAAGGCCGGCGTTGACTTTCTTCTGCTCGAAAAAAGAGAAATTGCTCCTCAAACCGGGGCCTCTATCATTATACAATGCCACACTGCGAGGATATTGGAGCAGCTGGGTATTTGGAAAGAAATATGCGCGGCAACGTTTTCGCTCACGGGTCGCCTTCATTTCGATGAACGTGGAAATCTATTTCACAGTTCACCTATTTTCGAGCATGTCGAGAAAGCAACTGGGCGGCCGATCGTGCTTATAGAACGCCGCTTCTGTCTTGATACTCTATATAACGGTCTTAAGGACAAGTCGCGAATTCTCACGAACACCGGCGTAGCGTCATTTTGGGAAGACGAGCACGGCTTAACAGTCTTAACCGACCGCGGGGATAGCATCAGGGGTAGTATTCTCGTAGCAGCCGATGGTGTTCATAGCACAATCCGCGGTCTCTTAGCTAGCGCAGTATCCAATACCGACCCTGAGAGATGCCAATATCTTACCAAAGGTAAGTCAACTTGTTCTCGTAGGGAGGTGTCGCCTTTAACATAATCCTATAAGGGTTCACTTCTGGCTATAGGGCAGTTTTTGGTACGTCGGCAAACGGGACAAGAGATGGTTTGACGAGGCCACTACTACCGGAAGGAATAGTTCACCATGCTTATTACAGGAATATTTCAGGAATCACAGCAGCAGGGGCAAAGGGGCTACTTTTTTGGTTCCTGTTCATAAAGGAAGAAAAATCCTCGACAACGTCCGACTGCCCGCGGTACACAGAGACCGACGCTATAGCAACTATTGAGAAGTATGGAAACCTATCTGCCTGTCCAGGGTACACATTCCGCGACCTATGGGAAGCTAGATCTCACGGAGGAATGGTTTCCATGGAAGAAGGGGTTATTCAGGGGCCTTGGAACAATGGCGGTCGTGTTGTACTTGTTGGAGACTCCATATGCAAGGTAAGACTCGGGCAACTCTTCAATTCTACCCAACTAGTATGTATCAAGTTGACATTTGTTACAGACGACCATCAATTCCGGTTTTGGAGGCAACCTGGCTATTGAAGGGGTCTGCAATCTCGTTAACGGGCTAGTGTCATTGCTGCAAAGAAATCAAACGCCCTCAACCAAAGATATCGTAGCTACCTTTGATAGATACGAGCAAGTACAACGTCCTCGGGCCGATGTTTCTGTAAAGATATCACACTCCACCACGCGATACGAGTCAATGGACTCACTTTGGTTACGATTCTTGCGGTGGCTTTCACCTTGGATCCCTCTAAGCTACCAGGTTAAGAGCTTTCTAAGTTATATGGATCCAGCGCCTATTTTACAATTTCTACCAGATTCCGAACCGGGCAGACCTTGACTCTGGCTAATTTGTTTAAGAGACATGACTAGGAGTTTGAGATATATAACAGACCAAGACTCGAGAGATTAACAAAGCCAACCTACGAGAATCTGCTAGGTTTGGGATGTTAAAGACTTCTTTGCTACAACTTGTTTTCATGAGTTACCGGATGAGCTATAGTTAAGTGAAATAACAAATTGTTATAATCACCAGCTCGGACTCCGGCTCACGTAGCTTTTCTTACCAAGACCCATTCATCCAGTCTAAAAAACATATTGAGCAATTACTTAATCTAACTATCCGATTTAACTACTATAGTACAAGATGAAGTATCCTTAAATGGGCATCAATTCCCATTTAGGATCTCTTGAAGACGGGCTCGTACCGTCTTTCCCTTAACATCTGGATACAACTCCTTGAAATCTAGATATCCCAGATACGATGCGATCTCAGGAGTGTTATCTCCTCGGAGTCCCCACGAATCTATGTACTGATTCAGAATGAGGTTAAACCTGGCAGTTGGATCTCTAGGGTTTTTTTCTAGGGCAGAGCGCGCCGAAGCGATAGCCTTGTGTATCTCGTCTGCGCTCAGCTGGAGTGATGTCATATTAGCTTCACTATTCGTAGGAAGCTTATGGTCCTCAGCTATCTGACTTACATAATTTCTTGTAACCTTTTCTCCGCTGAGCTCCTCCAGCAGGCCCCTTATTTGGATTGGACTGAGTGTTTCGGTATGCGCAAAGACCTTCTTGTTGAGGGTTCTTGGGTCGGCAATGATTTTCGCCACGTACGTCCCGACGTCTGGCAAGTTTGTATAGGCCATGGGTACCGATCCGTCGCCAGGAATTATGTCGAGCACTTTGACACTTACGTGATCTGTTCGGCCTGAAGGTATGGCTGGTACCGACTGGTCGATCCACCACCCAACGTCTATCAAGGTGTACGGCAAATACAAGCGTTGGATAGCTGCCAGGATATCATCTTTCTATGTCCGCGGTCAGTTTCAGGCTAAAGAATAACGCTTAGTATAAAGAAGTACCTCGTCACATATATCCATCACGCCTCGTGGTGCTGGCGTGCTAAAGTTGCATGGCACGAATCTCTTTACGCCAGCTTGTTTCGCCGCCTCGGCCAGAGGTACCTGATCACCCAGGCTAGAGAATACTATACACGATATTATTACATCAATGCCGGTAATCGCTTTAACGAGGTCATCCTTGGGACCGGTCAAGTCCGCAGCTACGATACGAATGCCGCGGCTCTTGAGTTCGTTATTAGCCTCGTTATTGACAGATGTAGGTCGGGCAAGAACAGTGATATCCTAATGATTCTGGTCAGTTAACTGGAAATAATCATTGTATATAAGGGATTCAAACAAATCCCGTCTCGGAAGCTAGCAACCCGTTCAATATTGAGCTTCCCGTTCGACCAGTAGCACCTACGATGCCGACCTTGATTGCTGTAGACATTTTTACTAGGATAAGATGAGAAAAATAAAATAAATATCACGTATCAATATAGTTCCAATATTCTTTTCGATCTTCTCGGTCCTTTATATTCCCATACAACCTCGACTTGGAGTTTTCAGGTCATTACTAATTGATGTCTTGGTTGTGTGTTAAGACGATGGAACTATCGTATGCCAACCCCTTAATTAATAAGCAACACGAGAAACCTCAGGAGGAGCATTTGTCAGCAAGACAATGTAGGTTAGGTGACAGGCAGTGTATTTCCAATCGAAAAAAGTTATGAATGACAGAATAACTCCCATATCTCCAACCATAAGACGCTAAATGAATGAGGGAGCGGTAGTTGTCAAAAGATCCCTGTCGAGTTCAAAAGCGATTCCTCCTGGACCCATATCATCGATTCATCAGCGACAAGGTCAGATAATCATGTATTCTGAGTGCCTCGTGATAAATAGCATGGATCAAGTGTTAGCAAATCCCATGGATTATCTATGAAAAGGTCAACATCTCTATCGTGAATAGTAATGATCATTGCAAGAAGAGAAATACTTACCTAAGAAATATACTATAGAGCAGCCAAGCTGTCCCCGTGAGGAATTCGTAATATCCAACTAGTAAGTCTAATACATAGCATAGCCCTACGCGAATGAACAGTCAGTAATAAATAAGACCCAAAATAGAACGTACGTAATAAATCAACTTACTCCGGAGGCGCAGATCGTTTGGCCTGTAATCCAACCACCATCCTTGCCGGCCAAACTTGCAACTATATTTGCAACTTCGGAAACTGTTCCTATTCGATTTTCGACCGCCGTCTGAGTCCTCTGGAGTTCCACGAGATCTTTCGGGATGTTGTCTAGCATGTCGCTCTGGACGGGTCCTGGATTTACGCAGTTGACCGTTGTTCCATTGCCACCTAACTCGTGGGCCCATGTCCGAGTTAAACCTTCCAGTGCCGCCTTCGAAGATCCGTATAGGCAAAATTTCTTGAAGCCGCCTCTCGAGGCAACGGAACCGATGTTGATAATACGTCCGTGGCTATTCAGGTAAGGTAGAACAGCCTGAGTCAAGAGCAATGGACCGCGCACGTTCAGGTTGTAGACGGCGTTATAATCGTCAACGGTCAGCTCCGCTAGGGTGTTCGCATTTTCCACGCCGGCATTATTAACGAGTATGTCGATCTTGAGATTTCGTTCGCTCCATACGAGAAGGTCGCTGATAAGAATTTCGGGGCCTTCAAGGGTACTAAGGTCGACTCGACAAGCATGAGTGCGAGGCTTGTGCGGAAAAGATTCGATAGTTCGGCAAATTTCCTTGACGAGGTCTTCGCTGCTTTTAGACACGTAGGTCAAAATCACCTTAACTCCAAGTTAGTCAATCTATATTCTTTTAATGAAACATTAGGCACTTATAAGAAGGTCATACTGTTGCTCCTCGGCGCGCGAGCTCCAATGCGATTCCTTTCCCGATACCCCTAGATGCTCCGGTCACGATAGCAACCTTTTTAGAGAGAGGGAGACTAAATTCCGACATTTCAGAGACTCTGGATAGGCAAATATACTTCTAGGTTAGTTTAGACTGTCGAGAGAAGGACTTTCGTTCTACTAAAGTCAATTTAGGCTTGCCCCCTTTTTAAATATACGCTTTGGAAAAGATTGCCGTCATATTCCGATTCGGCTTTGATGCACTAAACGCCGATCGAGTTCCAATATCCGAACCAAGTTTATTGTCACCGATATCCATCGTTCTCATGATCCAGAAGTTTCGTAAACTTCTAGGTTAAAAGGTCGTAGTTGAGCTTATCTCCGCGTGGCCAAGTAACACACTCAACTCAATCCCTAGGTAGCATTATATGACGTTGTGCATTACGATCGTATAGCAAGACTAACATGAGAGAATTGATAACCATGAAAGAAAGGAGTAAGGAAAATAAACATATCGCGGCACAGCATTGATTATCCCAATAGGGTCTCTGGATTAACTAAGAGAAATTAAATATATACAAGCCACATCTACACACACATATATACATATTACTCATTATGCCGGTCTTAAATCATCTATATATCCAAGCATATCCCGTTTCTCGTCACATACGCGTGCAAACTCGAGCAGTAGTCTCCAAACATAAAGCAGCATATCTTCCCTCCTGAGAACCTTTGAGCCCCAAGCCCTACCCTCCTCGGAAATGAAGCGCGCGGAGACATCACCTTTCCTATCCCGAGTAAAATAATCGAGTATGGCATATAGATCCTGAAACGTATTATCCATAGGAGCAAAATGCAGCCACGGAACCAGGCGGTCGTCGTGCCACTCTGCGTATATGGTAGCCTTGAGCGGGAGGGATGTCGACAGCAGAAACCCTCTAAATCTCGCGCTGAAACTGTTCCCGTCGACGTCGGGCATGAACTTGTACTTGTACTGCTCCTTCATGGGCATGCTCTGCACTTCGGAAAAGTAAGGCCGGACGTAGGTGCAATTAGAATCCTCCGGGAAGCAGAGGAGATTGACAAACCCAGCGTTGGAGAACTCGTGCAACCAAGAACCAACGGCTCCCTCGCGCCGTCGCGGGAAGTCGTACTTTTGCATCGGCGGCATCTCGAAGGTCATGGCGCGGGAGCTATGCTCCTCTATTCCCGACACGGTTGTCCCGTTCAGCATTTCTATAAGTCGATGCCGCTGGAAATGAAACCAGTTCTCTTTTTTATTTCGGCCCCCCGACGCGACACCCCGCCACACGACGCCGTTAGTCTTCTTCCACCAGGACGGCCCGTGAGTATCTCCGCCGGAATAGAAAGGGTCGTTTGTCAAGTACATGGCGCCGGGGATAAGTATCTCGTTATTTACAGGTAGCTTGCATCCGCCGAACAATGGGATAAGCTCTTTGCTCGTTGACATCGTCAGGGGCTCGACGAATGTGCCGTGCATACCACGGAGGTGGGGCTGGACGCAGGGATCTGTAGCGGCGGTAAAGTTACGTATATATCCTTTGTACGAGTACTCAGGTTCCCAGTCTTCTGGGAACACAGGCGGCTCCTCCAAATTTTGAATTGGTGTCACATTACGTGATGGAGAATCGGGAGCGCAAGCCACTCGTGTAAGGTCCCAATAACTTCCTCCAAGCCAATTCGGATTATAAGGAGAAGCACCGTCGGCTTTAGCATCAACTTCAGCAAGTCCGCTATATTTCGTCACCACCTCGTCGAGGGACTTTGCCGAGCGGCTTGCCTGCTCTTTCTCCATTAGACTCGCCATATCTTCCCAAGGAACGATCAGCCGAGATTCGTCCATATAATTAATAGGCATATCGACGTCCGGTAACCACGACGCAGCCTCGGCCACCAAGCCAGTCCATAACTGCAACCAAGGAACTTTGCCCTGTGTGTTGCCTACACCGCTGGCGACGCCTCCGCGAACGCGTACGACATAATCCCAGGACGCGGCTCGTTCGGCAGTCGTCCGGGGGTCGAGGCCCCAGAACGGCGCAATGTCAGCATATATCCTGTCGAAGAAAGACTCGACGATTATCGCCTCGTGTTCCGTCGCATACTGGAACCAAGCATCAAACCCCGGAGGAGGATGTCGCCCTCGTCGCTCGCGATAGCGGGCTGCAGCCGCGGGAAGATCGAAGCTTCGCTGCTTCAGCAAGTTCTCGTGGAAAGTGTGCGCGTCGCTGATAAGGTGATCGATGGGATGGTCCGCTGTGCGATTCCAAAAGTATTCGAAGTAATGGGATCCAGTATTACGGAGAAAACCCTCGGGACGGCGGAACAGGAAGATGCCGGACAAGGTTATAGAGACGATAAAGGCGACGGCAGCATAGCGAAGTATAGATTGCCACCTTAGAGAACAGATGCGACTGTCTGGGAGGCTAGCTAGCCTGTCGCGAATATTATGGGCGCTTAACATCGAAACTTGACGATATGGGAGAAGGGGGGTTTTTTTTTTCTTTTTTTTTCTCTTTCAGTTTTTTATCTTTTACTATCTCGACTAATTAATCAAAATAGGTATAGACCTAGCAGACTTCATGATGATGACTGCAGATCGAAGCGAGGCGAAAACAATGTACAAAGATCGCTACGAGTAAAAAAAGAATGGAATGAATTATTTCATATGAGTGAATCAAGAGGCACCAAAAAAAAAAGAATCTCAAAGTTCTCATCAACGCGATTCCTCGATGCCACCATGCCACCACCACCCCCTAACCTAGTCGTAGTACTTATGCCTAACCCATCAAGCCAAATTTCACGCCGCTTGCTATTGTAACTATACTAATGATGATGATGTTAGGTAGTTTCGAAGCAAGCACCAATCGAACGGGAGCGTTGTAGTCTTGGCTGATTCCTTTACCCCAACTTCATGATAAAGAGAACATGTACTCACTACATCTCACTACATACACTCGACGAACTCAAAGCTGCCGATCGTCGATCAGATGGCAAGGAACTATTAGGTACTCGGTACAAAACCATTGGAATCGGGCGAAGCGAGAGGGATGGGAACCATGTTGATGTAACCTATTTTGGGATTAGTCAGTCGCCATATCCGCAGGCTTCTCTCATACATTCCTAGCTGCCTTGTCTGTTCAGCCAGTTGTATCTTACCATTTACCTATTTGCTCTCCACTCTCTAGTCTAATCGTGATGGCGGAACAGGGGTCTTCGGGAAGAACCCCCCAGCCCCTTCATTCAAACGTACTAAGATACCTACTCGCAAATTAGGTCTTAGAAAGAAGTAATTCGTATATCATAGCGAATTACCTATGTATTTATGATCATGTGGCATCATAAAGAACAAAGTATGACGGGACGCATAGTTATAAGGTACTTGGTTCATAATCAAACTTATTAGGCATTCAAAGTACTCATTTCCTCAGTATATTACATAGTTGTGGTATGTTTGTTTTAAGTTTTAAGCCTCGTATAATAGGGTTCGCTCAAGACTGTCGTGAATATTATTGGTAATAATCTGCTAGGATCTTGATGAGTTCGTCTGAACTCTCAACCCAAGGCCTAGTTTACGGATAACAAAAAACAACTTGGTCAGCGAAGCTATTAGATATATATATTGGAATCTTAGCTATTAGACAGCCAACTAAATTAAATATCAAGGTCAAGCCAAGCTAAAGGCCAAAATGTTAAGTCCTTACGCCTGTGATGCCCCTTTTGTTCCGTAAAAATTCGGTCTCTTTGTCCTTTCGCCATTGACAACTTTCCGCAAATTCACATGACCTACACTTATAAGTCTCTTCGATAGAAACACCCTCGGCGTCCCTCTCGCCGCGCCACCACTCGAGGTTCCGTCCGAGGTACCCTTCTAAAGCCTCGGGATCGTTAGGAAACGAATTATTACCAAGAATGCGACCATCCTCCCTGTGGCGATACTGGACAGCGAGAAGTTCGCCGATGGTGGTGGCGCCCTGCGGAAAGGTTTCGCGTAGTTCGGACTGTAATAGCGGAAGTATCTGCGTAATGGATCGATATTTGATTAGATCTTGAGGAAGCTGGTTTGAAGACGGATCCGACCAATCGGTATTACACTCGCTACGCGTAGAATGAGACGATGAAGCACCCCCAACATCCGAATCCGCGTCGTAAAATATCTCATCGTGTAAGTCACCTACCTGAGCCATGAAAGCATCAGAAAATAAGGCATCAGCTGTAAGGCCATATCGATCCAAAATAGCAGTAAAATCTACGACACCAGAGGCCATCTCGCCCAAAAGTCGATGATACAAGAATAACTGGACCCTGGCGGGCCTGAGGGCGGCGCCGGTAGGCAGTCTATCCGAACCTCTTGTTTTGACATCAGTCAAGTAAAACTTTTTACGAGGCGGTTCCAAAAAATCTGTCATGGACGTCTGCTGTTTTTGGTGGCTTGCGGTGAAGCCCTTGGATGATTCGGATTGGCTGAGCTCTTGCTCAAAAGCGGCGTTTGGACTATCATGGCTCACTTCGTCTATGATGCCGTTTACGACTTGACCTTCGATGATCCCCCACACTTCAAGCTCTCTGGTCATGCCGATATCCCGGAGTGCGCGGAGGCCTTGGATGACGTTCCATATTCGTAGTGCAAACGCCTCTTCTTTGGTGGTAATGCTGACTTGGACCGTGGTATGTACCTGGTCTTCCAAGGTTTGATGGACACGAGTGCCACCCCGCATCGCCGCCGTTCTCGTCTTCCTCCCTCCAGGTAAAAGGGTAAGCGTGTACCAGTACTGTAGCTCGCACCAAGCACCAGAAGAGAAGTCGGAGACCGTGAGCGGCTTTTTGGGAAAAGAACGGAAACGCTGCAGGGGAGAAGGGACATCTTTCGAAGGCTCGGTGGATTCTAATTTGGACGTTGTATTAGATTTAGGATCGGATATGATACGACTCACTAAGCGCTAGTAGTTAGTTAGACGTGCCATGTACTAAATATGAATATATATATATATATGTTGCTTAGAGAACTCACGATCTGGGTATTGGACGCCACCTAATGGCAAAGGTGGTGCTACATATGAATTCGAGTTGAGAGATTCGTGAGCAGCCGTAGGTTCTTCGATTTTAATGGGAAGAGTACCGTTGGAGCGAGTATACAAACTTGGCACATGGCGCTTATCATCTTGGGTAGGCAGCACGGGCGGGATAGACAAGCTACTAGCAGTCGTCGCAGTAGTGCTGGTGGGTGAGGCGATGGGAGAAACGATAGGTGAGACGAGTTGCGTAGATTTGGGAGCGGTAGTTATAGTGTTGTTAAGCAATGGTGTATTATTCCCTAAGTCCTTTAAGAGCTTATTTACAATATCTTCCTCTCCTATTGAAAAGTCAGATCCGTAGTCACTCTCGCCGTCGTCCAAGGTGGGGGCAGCTGAGGGAGCCATGGATATCAGCTATTCGGCCAGCAGACCATCACGCTGTATTATACGTTAAAGTAAAGATATATAAGCTATCAGCTAGCGCAGTTATAATATAGACAGTAGAAGTCGAGTCATGATCGACTCAAATTCTTCTAGGATGTTGACGACATTTAGAGTCAACAATGCATTGATGATTTGATTACTTTGGTACCTAGGTAGATGTAGTATCTAGATGCAGTACCTAAAGTGGTGGGGGATTAGGTACATTCTCCTCTCGACGCGCTAAAGCAGCCTAGTCAGTTGCGCAGTCGCGTCATCACATGGCCACTTAGATGCATTGTAAGCAGGGTTACATGTAGGCAGCCGCTGGACGATAGCCTTTAGGTACCTACCTCAGGTACAGGCAGAAAGAAAAAAAAAGGGGGGGTTAGGAACAGCAGTAAGTAACTCTCGAGTACTACAACTCGTTTAGATTTCAACATCGAAATTTAATCCAACTGATTTTCAACTCACTTATTTTTTGGAATAGTATATTACGTTGATGCCTAGTGATTACATCGCCACAAACTACCTAACACATCCACATGCACATCGAGCGAGCCATGCCAGACTCTCAAACAGAACAGAACAGATTTAAGCATTAACAGAGCTAAGCATTTAGGCAGCAAGATGATACAAAGCAAATGAAATCTCTCCTTCGCGTTCAGATGCAACAGCCCTAGCTAATCAACAGTTTCGTTTCATTGAGAGCGTTTTGCAGTTGGTTGTCTTCAATTCGCTCTTTTTATTTTTCATATTTTTTTTTCAATCGTCAACCGGGTTGGCCTAGGTACCTAGATAAATACCTATCTATGTCCACTTAAACACGCCAATTCGATAGTAACGGGCTCAACCTTGACAATAAGGTTGCAACCCATCTAATAAACAATGGACATTATTCACCGTGGTCGTATGTTCCAATTAGGCCTAGATGGAAACCCAGTTACCAAATCTCACTCTGGCGGGGCAGCAAGAAGCTTTGAAAATTTACCACCAGAAATACATCTCTTGATCAGCCGACATCTCACGTATCCCGACGCCTTATCTCTAAAGCATGTCAGTAGATATTTCTACTGCCTAGTTGATACCGGGCTTAAGCTCAAGGTGGACTGGCTGATCGAGCGTCGGAGCTTGCACTTGGAGTGTCCAAACGATCGTCGCTGCGACCTGGGAAGCGACTTGAAGTTCTGCAGAGGTAGCGTCAGGTAAGGATTGTGCGGCGTGCTTAGAGACGAATATTCCGAGGCGGTAGCCTCGTATTGTCCTAGGTGAATAACGGCGTTGAGAAAGTGGCGTTACTAAATATTGATTTCAGGTTACTCATGCAGCGGCGCCGCGAACACGCAGAATGTGAATCCCGTCCCGGTTTGGGGTGTCTCGTATATGGGACGGCAAAATGTGCACATCGGCGCCAGCTGAAATGGCGCATCAAGCGATGGCTCCGCTCCCGTCTTACTATCGAACTCTGGTGGTGTCTGGTGCCCCTGGTTCCCGTTCTTTTAGGATGTCTATGGGTAGCAGAATTCGCAAGATGGCACGCCGAAGAATGAATTGTATTTAGCGGGTTGGACATTATGATACCGAAATGACTATTAAGCTATATTATACAATTTGAAAGTCTTGAGAGGTAAAGAGCTGAAACGAACTAATATATATTGCCCTGTTCGTACTCTACACCAGACTGAGGCTACATCTCTATCTTAATATATGTTACTTGTCCTCGTGAAGATCTTAGAGAGATTCTAGATCGATTAATGAATTTTCGACGGCCCATTATACGAGGCTACTCAAGTTGACTCGAAGTCTTCATATCACCCACGTTCATGAATAGGGGGAGCATTGCACCGTACAAATAGACAGTAAATGTATTATTCCGCACATGGCATGTTTTCCAACCTATAATTTTAGATACAATCTTAACGACGTTCCCACTCAACCCTGAGATTTATACCTGAACCGATACATATACCTTTATCATTTATTTAGTTTATATAGGTAACTACATACAATAACTTATTTTTTTATTCCTAATTAGTTATACTGTTATTATACTGCTTGTACTTTTACGACCCTCACCTCCCACTCCATCATGTCTTCAACGAGGCACTGGTTAGACAAGGTCTACCTTGTGTATTTCCTTATCCATCTACCCGTCTTATTCTGTAAGTATATGATAAAATATTTTTTTTACTTGTTTCTGTAAGATATGTTTGAATGAAAATCGAGGCTTTCCAAATGAATATTATTATTTCTGGCAACATGACAGCTAGATACCATATATCCCCCCAGCTTATGATTCTCTCATCTAACATCCGCAGGTGTTGACCTCGTACCCCTCTACCCAACATCTCTCTGGGTACCACCCTCGTCACCATTTCACTTTCTATACGAGTTGCGGGTCTATTATATAAATACGTACAATGATCAGTTCTTCGCACCGCCACCGGCAACCATCCCGAGCTTCTTCCCGCTATTCGCTTTCCTAGAGCTCGTCTTCCATCTACCGGTGTCGCTATGGGCAGTCCGTGCGTTCTTTAGCGGCGGACTGAACGGTAATGCCGAATTGCTGCTCCTTGTATACGGAATCGAGACAGCATTGACTACCGCGACCTGCATGTACGAGGCATTCCTCTGGGACCCAGCCGTGGTAACCGCTGAGCAGAAGGTGGTACTACTAGGTGGCCTATACGGAGGGTATCTTGCCGTTGGTAAGTTCGATATTGATCAATTGGATGTGCTTAAGGCATACTAACTGTAGAGTAGCTGTCCTGTTGACTGTCGATATGTATACACGCCTGCTGAAACGTGTCAACTCGCTTGATACTAGGAAGAAAATCCAGTAGCATTTAGTCCAAATTCGAAACGCGAAGATGTTAGTGTCATGGGTGGGCATTGCGGAATAGAGGATATGGGTATTGACGTTATTCCATCAATTGCAGCTACCTTTCCCTTCGTTTGGTATCATTGCCGTAACTATATTTTAATACAACCGGTAGCCCCTAAAGTCATACATAACGACGCGCACAATTCCTCGCCGTCTTCATAATATTTACAAGATTCCATAAATTTCCACGTCGAAGAGCTATGCTAAACGACTTCAATCCATTCTTTTCGAGTAGCCCCATCCATTGCCTACGCCGTTTAGCCCGTAAGCTAAAGGCGTAGCACCACCGAGGCCGCGACCCTTTAGTCGCTTAGGCAAGATGATGCCAAAGAAATAAACGCCGGAAACCAAAACACCGGCGATGAATGATACGAGGGCATAAAATATGGTGCTAGCATAGATGTGCCCACCCATGCCCTGCCACTCGACTTTACCCTCGGTCTTGGGAAGTGCTGGGGTTGGAAACCACCTAACGCTAAAACTTAGGGGTAGAGGATCGCCAATGACCAGCCTCTTGGTAAAGCTGCCATCCATATGGCTAAGTGGACTCGTGCTATATGCGGCGCCGCTATCTAAAACGCCGCTATCGTGAGGATGAATGTGATGCTTTGGTGTGCTGTGCAAGAGGATGTTGAGATGGGTGCTGATATGCAGATGGCTAAGCTGCAAAGTACCGGCCAATGCAAATACGAGCGGTATATATTCTTGCTCATAGGGCTTCTCGCCAACCATCTCGATATGGGCAGGAGGCCGAGCAGGAAGACGACAAGCAAGGGGCGCGTCGCTGTGGATATAGAATTCCAACAGATGAAAAAAAGGGTCGTCTATCATAGGGATCGTACAGTTCATCTCGTCTTCGACGCCGTAACCGAACTCGAGAGACTTGCCGGTCTCGTTGCAGGTTGGAAAAGGGATCCATTGGATTTCGTCCTTGGCATTCTGTATATGTTCGCCGGTCTCTCTGAGGATGTTGGGTCAGCAAGTGTCGGTTGGGTCGCGCACAAATAAACTTACATGCTCCTATTCATGCATTCGACGGCGATCGGTGCGCCATAGTGGTAAGATGGTAAAACACCTTCTTTAAGACTGGCGCTCGCTGTAACTATAGAGACTATAGGGAAGAAAAGCGGTAACATGAACGCGCTTAAGATCATGCGCGCAATTGAAGGCATAATTCAATTTGCCTCGGTATTAATATTTTAACCGTCGAAAGGACATGTCGAGTTTTAGACTAACGGCTGTCTATGCCTATCGAGTGAATATAGAAATCATAGAAATCATAGAAATGAAAGACAAAGGGTTAACTTATGTATTAACCTTAGGTGCGTATGTAGACGACAACCTGGTCAAATTGTTGATTGTGTTGCATTAAAACGAACAATCTACTGATACGGACTGGGAGCTGCTAGGTACAACAAGTTTAATAGTCTTATCGATAGATACCTATCTATCCGTTTACACGCATACACTTTAGGAACTAATGCAGTATCTAAAGTAGTACGTACTCGAAAATATGAAGATGAGGTCTTATACAATGCCCTCTTATACGAAACCATCCTCCTTGTTACTTTTCATCTCATATACTACATACCTACTCATATATTATAGCCACCAATACTTCATCATATCGCAGTTCCACACCTCCTTTTTCACAAACCCGGCTTCTGACAAGTAGCTAGAATCGCTGTCCAACGTAAATCCCATCCCTCACCATTATACTTTTCTTCGAGATGGTTCACGATATGCCTATCTAAAATGCCTTGCGCCTTCTGCTTGCTCTCTTCGCTCCAGTACGTATTGACCATCCAATCCTTCATCATTCTATAACTGTAGAGGTAGTCCTCGGCACTATTCACGCGAACCACGTGAGGCACGGCTTTAACTTGAACATTCCCGAACCCATAGGCTTTCAGCTCCTCCTCTACACCCTCCGGATCCGTCCACTGGAGCTTCCCGTGGATTGCCATGGGCACCGGGTTAGGCATAGGTGCGTCGAACGGCAGCGCCTCGAAACACGACCTCATATCAGGGGTCCATCCCTCGGTGTCTCTGTGCCAGGTGCTAAATGCTAACACGCCTCCTGGTTTAAGAATCCGCATCGTGTCTGGAAGTTTGTTAGAAACAATTATCCCATGTTGTATTTACTAGGAATATACCTGCTAACACAGCCTCCGGCTTTGGGATTACGTGCATAGCAAAATTGAGGGTTACATGAGTGAAAGACTCATCTAGAAAGTCCGAATTCTATTGGAATGGGTTAGGTATCAACCGTTACAGATACAGTCGTGATTGAACAAACCTGAGCATCAACGACAGCCGTCTCAACGTTTGTCCAGCCATACTTGGTAGCACGCCTCTTCAATATATTCACAAGGTTCTCATTGAAGTCGGCACAAACCATCTTGCTCTCCAGCAACAACTTAGAGTCGATGTGGTCTTGCAAGTGCGCCACGATAGGACCGGTTCCACAAGCATTGTCGAGTAGTGTAAAAGGCTTATTTGTCGATTCGTCGAGGCCCGCTTGCGTGAGCAGCAGCCCAGCAGGACCTCTCATGATTCGCTCCGAGCCTGCAATCGTCCGCTCCAAGTCTTCGTCGGCGAGGCCTCCGGCGAAGCTTCCATATAGCTTCTGTAGCTCTTTCTGTTCAACACTCGTCATGATGAGCAACAAGTAGTTAGTGATAAGGAGAATGATATACGCTTTGAATACGAATAAGTAATGTCCTTACAACGACAAGTCTACTTTGCTCTAAGTCATATTCTTTAATGACCGTTCCTCGTGTCTAATTTATAAACGCCAGTAGGCTATGTCTACTAAGACTAAGTCCCCGGAAAGTCTCCGAGTTGGGGCATTGGTAGAAACCTTGAGGGTCAACAGCTAATAGAGATTCCTTATTGGGATCCTATGATTTTATGCGTTTGGGGGTAGGTACATACCATTTATGCTCGAATCAACTCTCATTGTCCCTTATAGCTATTCATGTCGTCTCAGCCTGAATAATATTATACATGACAACCCATTGGTGACAATATGCATTTTTCATTATATTAGTATCACCTACACTTATTAATACGAATGAATACCTAGGGTCATAATCACAACATGGATGATGACTAGGCAGTTAGGGACATATCCAACCTGCCCTATAACTATACATGTTTTGAATCCTCTAGAGGTATAATTAAGAGGTAGTTACCCCATAAAGCCATTGATTTATGGAAAACTTTTCAACGATCCCAATTCTACCAGGTCCATAACAATGCCTCACAACATGCTAGATTTGCCTAGAATGTAATAGATTGCTGATTTTCTCAACTAGGAAACTTGAATCGATCACTTAGAGTTGAGTTATGCGTGCCTCGCGGTATATTTGCCCATCTAGAGAACGCCGCGGAAACATGCTCCGTGGGATCCTGTAGCTACCACCAATGCTGCCTATCCAACTCTCCATGGACTCTGACCGGCGTCGTAATGCTGCTACTAGAATATCTCCGTCTCTTATGATTTGAGTGCACTACCGAAAACAACTCGCTTTGGCCAAACCAGGTCTGACCTTGCTAACATATTGAATGCATAGTATTCGTATACTAGAATGCCGAGACGCCTATTATCACTTTCTTTTAACCCCATTGTATAGAGCCTTACTATTCAAACACCCGGCATATATCAAGCCGCCTAATCTCTCGAGCTTCCAAATTCCGAGTAATACGTCATACTAGGATTGCCCTCTCAATAGAAACCCATACTCCTACTGGCTGTTGGCGATACGACGAAACCCTCCACAGCTCGCTTAATTTCTTTCACGCTCCGTGCAATATCTCTCATGTCTGCACCACCCTCGTTGTTAGTTCGTAAGTTCGTAGACACCCAGTTTTCGCATTCCAGAATTAGGTCATTAATCCAAGGTTCTAACCTCGCCTCTGGGCGACCATTCCTATTTAAATCGCGGATCCATTGACTGACAGCAAACGTAATCCATTCGACGATTCTTACGCGACCAGAGCCCCGGAAGGGTACTTCTTGCGCCTCGAACATCTGTTCGAGGACGCGGACCACCAGGTCGAAGCTCACTCCCAGATTAAGGAAAACGATCACAGGCCAGTTGACATCTGCGGCGATTCTTCTATCCTGTGCATTCTCAAAGGCGTAGCGACAGATATCCGGTAAGAGAGTAGGGACGGGGAATATGAAAGAGTCGTTGGAAGAACGGTGGCAAATGTCTTGAATCTGGCCGACGAGCACTTCGTATGGTTGAGGAGGTGGATCTCCTCCCTGTTCTCCACGTTTGCGGCGCTCTACGTTATATGCTGACCACTGTTCAGCGACGTTCTCGTGAGTTTGCTGAATAAGGCTGTTCCACGTCTGAGCGATGGTGGTGGAGTGTCGGTAGTTGGCAGCGTGGTAAATAAGAAGGCAGAGATCGTAGTAACCGGCTTGATCGGCGTAGCCATTGAAGAGCTAGTTAATAGATGTTAGCGACTCCGAAAACAATTCATAACTTCAAAATAGCACGCATATCCGAGTGTAGAAATATACTTACTTCGGAGAGAGACTGAATTTGGCCATCTAAGGTCTTCTCGATATATGGTTGGCGTTCCGCAGGGATCCTGCTATCCACCCTCAGCCTCTCTAATAGGTCGTCCTGGATGTGAGCCACCTCGAGAAGCTCTGTCACCCTGTGGTTGAGGAGCTGCTGCTCTTGCCGGCTAACGCCAGCGGTCATAACACTGGCGTTGGTCTTCGCTTTGCTTAGGAGGGTAAGACGATCTTTAATAGAAATTGGGAAGTCGGATTGTACAAGTTCGGCTTGGACCTTGGCAGCGTCGAAGTACTGCTTGCGCATGGTGTAAAACCTACAAAGGAGGTCTGCATGCTCGATATCCTTGGTAGCTAGACGGCGGAGGAAGGTCGTGACATGCGGCGAGTCAATGCTAAGAAGGCGATCGGTCCACCCCTGTTGTATATACCAATCATATAGATCAAAATGGAAAACTTCGTCTGACGAGCTGCTGACGACATCATAAGCCTCTGCGCGCTTGGTTGCTATCAGTGTCGGTTTTCCGTCGATCATTTCGGGCTCCCGGCTGGAGGCGGCGTCGAGGTCCTGGAGAACGTGATGAATTAAGCCGTAGCAGACCTTGCGTTGGTCAAAGAACTTTGCCCTGGGGTCGCCGATTGGCTTACCATCGTTAACCCAGGAAAGTGCAGCGTTGCCCCGATCCTTTTCGCTAGCAACGACAAGACAAAGCTGAATAGCCCCGGCGTAGTATCTCAAGCCGACATATTGTTCGATCGCATACTCGAGGTTTGTTTGCGTGAGGCTTTTCGCAACTTTCTGGAACAACCTCAAACTCTCATGAAGAAGTGTACGGGAGGTGTTTGGATTGAGAGACGGTTCTGATGCTCTTTTTAATTGCTCTTGGGCCTTAAATATGACCACATCGTCGGGGCTGCAAAAGCTGCCGCACTTGCGACGTAGCGCATCTGCTACGGTCTCGACATTGGATCCGTTTTCAATATTCCGATTGACAATAGCCTTGACGAGGACCTTGGCGAGCTCCTTTCCATTGTCCTGAGAAAATAGTTGCTCGTACGTAAGATCGCGAAGCTGTTGCCGTGACGTGTCATCAAGACGAGCGAAAATATCCGTAACCCGCTCGTCAAACAGGGTCGTAACGAAAGATATGCCTTCAGTAATGCCCATCATCAACGTCTCCAGAGCACGCATAGCTTGATGCTCGCCCTGGAAGCCAAGTTCCTCCTGCTTGCTTCCAGCTCTGCGCATATCTGCCGGACCCGCGAGGCCCTGGATAAACGACCGGTTCGCATCTAGGAAGCTTCTCAGACCCTCTACGCTCGCCTGAACTTCCTTTAACTTGTCGGTTGAAATGACGCTAGTTATCGCCAGCGCGCCGCTCGCATCGGTCCCCAATCCAACGACTCTCGAGTTCCATAATAATCGGACAAGCCGGCTAAGATACAAAGTTAAGGCTGCGTGCCGAGTCGAAGGCTGTACCATTTCAACCGTCGCTGGCTGTCCATCCTGCTCGGGAAGCCTAGGATTCCCGCCGAAGTTGATATAGACTTGCTTTGCTCGGTCTTGAGTAGTTTGGTCGATGGCGCCACGGGCTATCCCAGGACGCCCATTATCTCCTTGGCGACACGCAACGGCTAATGCGGCCGTGATGGTCTCGACATGGCCATAAGCACTGCGGAACTTGCTCACCTCGGTCTTTACACCTTCGTCCCCTGCTGCAGCCCTAATAGCCGAGGCGAAAATGTCCACCAGTCTTCTGCGACGCACTAGATGTATTCCCGTATTCGTCAAAATAGCAAACTCGCTACCGTTCGGGTCGTCGAATTGGACCGCTAATTCATTCCCAAAGCCTTGAGGTTGGTTAGTCGCAGCGAAAGACTTGGTAACAAGACCGACATCTTCAGCTTTACTACCAATTTCGATCCAGTTGGCATGCTCATAGTACCGCATGTTCTGAGTCTGGCGCCCATGGTTTATCCGCCCGCTGTCCGGGGCCGACATAAACAAAAGATCTGTGTTGGGCTGTTCCGGTTTAGTTACAAAATCAAGAAAGTAGCCCGGAGCAAAGCGGATTCCTCGCCGACTCATCTCGAGAGATTTTGCGTGGATATCGACCTGATCAGCGAGGCCCCCAAACCGGTCGACCCTAGACCTCCGTTGGTCAGTCGGAGGGAATTTGATGGATTGGAGCTGCATGCTCTGAGGCGCCTGGTTCGAAGAACCCAACATATAGGAAGCTGCGCTAGTAGCGCTCATGAAGAGACGGCATCCCGTATTTGTCAGGGCCATAAGGTGAACCTTGAAATCTTCAACGGCAGAGATAGGGCTAATCGACACGATATCGATGCGCTCGTTAAGTAAAGGCGACACAACGCTAAGCACGTGGGCGATATCGCGCAAAAAATCATCCTTGGTCTTTTCGATAACTTTGGTAAGTTTATTCGGCGACTCCATATAATAAGTGCGTACGGTCGACGTGTTAGAAAGGGAGTAGAGAAGATTTCTACTGTCATCCACGACGATATCTACGACGTGCTCATTCGTAACCTTACCCCAAAGAATTTGTGTCGGGTTAGGGACTGCGGCAGTCCATGGGCGATACGTGTGGTTGATCTTCTCCGTCCTGTTGGTAAACCATTTCTCTTCCTGCTGGTACTTGAGCTCATAAATATCGCTAGTCGACTGGCTGGAGAAAAATATGCGGCCGTCTGCAGAACCTGCTATAACGCGCGCCTCCGTACCTTTTAGGGGCAACGACATCTTCGTACCGTAGAGATCAATGCTCTTGGCGCCACCTGGAGCATCTTTGGCCGCGACTCCTAAGAGGAATATCTCTGAGGTCGTAGCTACAACCAATATGTGCGTAATAACCTTGTTGAACACGTCGGGCTTGGGGGCGACGAGTTTCACGGCGGTGATGCTATGCTGGCTGTCTTCGTAGCCAGTAAGCTCCGGGTTTGGATGAGTGTAATCCCAAAGGTAGAGACAATTATCGATCGTCACCCATGCGTGGTTCAGCTCGGCGAACAGCCCCATCATCGTGGATACTTCGGCCCTGTTATACTGCTCGAGAACGTTTTGAGGAATGGGATACATATTTGTCTTCTGGAAAGGTGCCCAGGCGGAGTCGTCCCGAGTGACATCGTAGTCGGAGGATATTTCTGCGGTAGGTGTGTTCTTTAGAACTAAACTTGTTAATAAGGATATAGAAGACATTACTCACGTCTGCAGTAGGAATCAAGCTGTGGATAATCGCCATCTTTAGCTAGAGCATTGTTGATATAGGAAGCAGCCTTAGCTAATGGAGGTTGAGGAGGCATATTTTGAGTTTGCAGTACTGCTGGTATGGTATGGTGATCGGTAGGCTGGGTGGGAGCATTAAGCCCGAGGCCGTGATTTGGAGCGAATCTTGAGAGTTCACCGCTAGGAGCTGAATTATCCCGAAATAATTGGCGGCGAACCGGATCTTGCTGGGCGTTAAAGCGCGATGCAATAGCAGGAGTATTCAAGAAAGCGCCGGGCAATGCATGAGACGGCGTCTGCGGGAAAGCCATGGCGATTATGCGTATGCGTATGTGTATGCGCCTGAATATGATAATCAGGCGCGACAACGAGGAAGGAGGATGGGATTGGTCAATCAGTATTGAAAAAGAGAGAGAGAGGAGAGAGCCAATGCAGGCGGGCAAGGCACCGAGCTGCTATCGGATCATCAATGGCAACGTCGAAGCTTGGTTCCTTCTAGAATGCTAACAGACGAGGGCGCAGGAAGATGAGAGAAGGGAACCACCGATACGCTCCCTCTTTATAAATTCCGTCCTTAAGTCCCTAAGTTCCCAATATTCCCAATCTAAGAGGAGCTTATCTTGGAAAAAAGAAGAGCTATCAGCTATCAGTTATTAGCTGTTAGCTTTGGACGAGACTTAGTTTTTTAAGATGAAATATTAGTATTAGAGAGAGGGAGAAAAAGGCTGTAGTTGGAAATATGTTTAACTTATTTTTTTTCGAAATTCGAAAGCGGGAGCTTTGACGACACGCGCTTCAAGTTTCGTTGCTTTGGTTGCTGAGGTTGTAGCTTTGTCCATTTTTTCCCTAGTCGCGACTTAATCGTTCTAATCCCAATCAAGCTTCAAGCTGGGTTAAATAAGTGGAACTACACGCTGAGTACTGCATACATGTACCATATTTTATGCAGGTATTTAGGTACTCTCACAAGCAAACAGCAGCGTCATTGGCTCAAATCATTGGTTCGTAGAACAATGCCATTTAATAAGACATCAATAAAAATAACCAACCTCTAGGCACCTTGTGTTACCACAACATAAGGGAACTACCTTCTGCTAAGGTTAGATAAATAATCATCTCATGCTGAAAAAATTAAAGGTTAGCACAGGCTGGTAAGCCATTGAATACCCAAATAATGCATATTAATACTGTAGTGACGTATTCATCCCAAGAGAACAACCTTAAACGTAAAAAAAAAATAAGCCATCTTCAAACCCTAAGAGCGAAAAATAGCAATATCAAGTCAAATATGAATTAGATACCTAAGATACGATGCCAACCATATCTTTACCTTTTGAAATACAGGTGGCTCTAATAACAACTCTTTCCATATCTAACCTTATGTATACCAATCCTATAAGCTATAAGCTATTCCTTTTTAGTTCCTAGAGAGCTTTGCTTCGAACCTATTCATTCCTTTTTGGCGTTTCGGGCTGCTTTCTTCAGATAGCGGTCCCGGATATCCATTTCCATTTTCAAGTTGACCCAGATGCAAAGCCAGTGACCAACGCCAAGGGTGTTCTCGATGGCCCAGGCCATAAGCGCATGGCTCCAATGCGGTGTGTAAGTATATGCCACGCTTTGCCAACCACCTAGTCCCACCTTGCCTAGAGCAGCTCGCACAAATTGTTTCTGGCTAGGAATAAGTGCGCTAGCCCGTCGTACCTTGCTCATCGCTGTCGTGACAAGGTAGCTGAGGCAAAGTTGGACGTCGACGTTGCTCGGCTTGAGTTCGGCCGCGAGAGCAGAGGACCAATGCTGTAGGAATGCCTTGCTACCCGAGTAGGTGGCCAAATAAGGGGTTGGGATCCATCCGCCGAAGCTACCCATTGTGAGAATCAAGCCACTCTTACGGGCCTGCATTACCGGAGCGACGAGCTGCGTAACCTTGAGAGTGCCTAGGCAGTTGATAGTGACGATATCTTGAAGCTCCTTCGGTTCGGTGAGCAGGAAAGGAACAGCGGTGTGGTGACTCTGGCCGACATTGTTGATAAGAATGCCTATGTCGAGACCAGTGATCAGGTTAGCGAGACGAGCATAGTCGGCCTCGTCGTCAGCGGAGAAGTCCATGCCGAGTACCTTCGTCTGTACTCCCGCATACTTGGTTTCCAGCTCTTGTGACAGTGCTTCTAACTTGGATAAGGTACGGGACACTAGGACGAGGTTGAAGCCCTTGGCAGCGAGTTGAGCAGCAAATTCTTTTCCTAAGCCATCAGATGCACCCGTCACAACAGCCCAGCTACCCTTCTTTCCATATTTCTTAAGCTAAATCGTGGGGTTCCCAGGTGTTAGATGAAGATACAGCATACACGAGGGAGGAAAATAGTATAAAAAACAGAAACTTACGTTAGTCCCACTAAGGACGAATGTGCTTAAGAGTAAACGGAGAAAGCTCAACGCTTTGAATGTTGTAAAGAGAGCTCCCAGTCCCGCAAAGGTCAACAGCACGCTCTGCGGAATAGAAGCGAGACCATCGCTGATAAAGTCCATATTGGATTCGTGGTACCTTATTTAATATAGATGGAAGGAGTAAAAGTAGGAGGAAAGGTAAGATTTAGGTATCATCGATACTGTGTGGTGTTGTGGTGTGGTACTGTTGGGGTTTTCCGAGTGCGAGTTACAAGTAAAAAAGAGCTGAGGTGCTACGTCAATACCTGATAGGTTAGTGACGGGTCTCGGAGCTTACCTACTGTGTTAGTAGTGGAAGCCACTCAGCACCTAAGGTATGCAACTTTATGTAATCACCTATAAACTTTCATAGCACCTTGACGGCTCTCTAAATATTTATATATATTGAACATTCCCATTTACCAACCAGAATTTTAAGATTCGCCAACGCATCAATCATCATGGATATCCTTAAAGACTATCTTCCGCCCGCTAAAGGCTATCTACCGTACTATATGATGCTGGTATGCGAAATTCGCCCTTTCTAACTAACCCCTTTTTCTTCTCATCGCTTCTAACTAACCAATCGAAACTACAGACTTCCATCCTCGCGATTGGAAATGCCGCTCAGAATTATATAACATTACACTTTTCTCGACGCCTCTACAACGGCCAGTTCGTACCAAACCTTTCCCTATCTCCCAAGTCAGCTACCTTCGATCCGGAAGACTCGACTCGGAAACTTATACCTGCGTCAACAACATCGAATCCCAAAGCCGGGCGCACCCAGGATCAGGTCACCCCCCTCGCTGCCAGATTATTCGGCACCTATACTACCATTTCGGCCATCGTGCGCCTCTACGCTAGTTACAATCTACATCTAGCTCCCGTGTACCAAATCACCCTGTGGACCTACGTTGTTGCACTTGCGCATTTCGGCTCCGAATTCGCTGTCTATAAAACGGCGCACATGGGTCCAATTGCGACAACCTTCTTCTTTGCCACCGTCGGTATCGTATGGATGACGAGCCAATATAACTTCTACGTCGAAGCATGAGCCAAAAGGGATAGGCTTTGCTGAGGGACAGAGAGGCGTAATAGGTATAATATTGTCAATAATATATGTAATCAACGTACACAATCGACAAGTTTGATGTGGGGCGCATTTATAATACCAAGGCCATGAAGTTCTGCCCATTTGTGTTGTCAACTACTAGGCATAAACACCTAATCTATTTCTATATTACCTTCGCCATTCGCTATACGCTCCTCCTATCATTGGAATTTTTTCCGATATAGCTCTCCCGCACAATCCCTCAACTTCGCCGAGGCTTGTTCGGGGGTAATGTCTCGTTGCGGCTCGGCCATCAATTCGTATCCAACTAGGAATTTTCGCACGGTGGCCGACCGTAGTAGAGGTGGGTAAAAATGCATGTGGAACCAGCTGTTTTCGATTTCCTCTTCTGTTCCGTCTAGCGGAGCCTGATGTATACCGGAGCTGTATGGGAAGCTTGTCTCGAACAAGTTGTCGTATCTCCTCGTTACCTCCTGGATCGCATCCGCAAACCTAAACCTCTCTTGTTCGGTCAAGTCTACTAACGCTCGCACATGCCGCTTGGCGATTATCATAACCTCAAATGGCCAGATCGCCCACCACGGACAAACCACCAAGAAGGACTCGTTCTGGTATACGATACGTTCCTGTTTCTCTAATTCCAGCTTGACATAATCCTCCAGCAGGTGTCGCCCTTGGTGCTCAGCTCTATATTTGGTCAACTGAACAATTTCTGCGGCTGGTTCTTCCGGCAGTGTACTGGTTGTCCAGATTTGGCAGTGCGGGTGAGGGTTTGAGCATCCCATTGCAGCGCCCTTATTCTCGAAAATCTGCATATACCGCAACTGCTGCGAGGGCGGCGGCACGAGGGACTCGGGAGGTGCTTCGCGATTTAGGAGATCGAGCTTGGCGGCAACTTGGGAAAGGGGGTTATTCGGCGCAAGGTGAGTAGCATAGATCCTTGTCCACGTCTCGATAATTGGGAGAGTCTCGGCCGCAGGCATGTCGGCGAGGGTGAGGTTGTGCTTGGGTGAAAAGGTAAGGACAAAGCATTTGCCTTTGACACCCTCGGCGCGAAGTAGCAACGAGGCGAGATCTGCTCGGATTAACTAGGCCCAACCATGAGTTAAGAGGCGGTTAGGGGCAAGCTTATTACCATGGCTTGAAGGCTCCGCCTCGTAATCTTGCTGTTGTTCCTTTACGGCACTATAGTCGTTTACAAACACAAAGGTCTGACTATAATCGGGGTTCGCATCGCCTTGCGCGCGTGGGTTTCGAGGACAGAGATAACACTTGACTCTGTTAGCGATTCACATATCTAGTATTACGAGGCGGTATCGCTTGCCTTCGGGTCGTATTCAGGTAGTGTGATGATTCCTGGGGCTTCTTGCTGACCCCTGGCCAAGAACCTAGTGAGCAACTCGTTTCCTCCTTATAAAAGCACAGATATATCACAGCACACTTACTGCCAAGGTCTCTTCGTCCTGTGAGGGGAAACTAAAAGCCACGACCCCCTCAGCGGATTGTAGCGCCGATGGGAGATATCATCGAGGATCTTGTCAGGCATAGCGACTAGAGAAAAGACTAAGGTAGGCTATGAGGATGAGAAGACCCTTATTGCGCAGAAAGTGATGCGATTGATGCGATTGATGCGATTCGAAGCTTGAGCTAACACGATGGAGGAGTATGGGGGAGGGGGGTGGTTTCCTATTAGAAAGAGCAAGTATTTACCTCAAAGAAGAAAGCAAGCAGATATTAAGATGATGTGAGGATGCGAAGATGTAAGGGAACGGATAGCTGCGGTGTATATTGCATTGTACCTGATTATCAGTCCACATGGCATTATGCAGTTGAGCATGTACCTCTTAGATACATCTCATGTATGTGGTGGGTTAAGAAATCATAACCCCGCATGGGGTATTCTATACCTATGATGCAATTGGACAGGTGCGAGATATCTCGGTGGTTACGTCGGCCGAATACCGGGAACGACTTCTAGAGTTAAAGTAGTTCAAGCTTATTTTGGGTAATGTATCCCACGGAAAATACCGCGCTTTCTTCACTCGTACCTTCCGTATAAGGGAAAGAAGAATTACGAGGTGACACAATAGATGTACACGTGCACCTAGAAATATTGAAATTTCAATGTTCGTAACTGCCTTAGTTAGTTTGTACCTAAGATCCGTTGCCATGCACGGACCAGGCAACGTTGAGGCATCACCACCCACCAAATTGGCATAATTGTAAATATTGTAATCCTCGTAACTTTACAAAGATTCATCCAGAATATCATGGATACTATTACATTACAGTAATCCGGTTTCACGGGTCCTTATATCAATCATAAGGACGCACAAGTTTAGGTATCTCCCATGATATTACCGGGGTACTTGACAAATAGGTACCGAACCGTTAAAGCTTTATTCACGTGACTAAAGAGCCTCAAATCTTGTTCGGGTTAAAGCAGGTGAAAGCAGGTGATACTATTTGTCAAATCGGCGCGACGCATTCCGCATGAGCTGCAACCTCCATTCAACCTAACCTACCTAAAGGTACCTACACTTACATGTAACCAACCAGCAAACATCCATACCTTGGAAGTTTACATGTATTATGGCATACGTACCTCTATGGTAGGCATCCAACTGCTATCCGCTATCGCCGACCAACCTCTATTATTTGTCGCGCGACATTAAATCAACAATACTCTTCGTCGGACATTCCAACTTCAAATACGACATTTTATTGATCCCCCTCTACCGTATTCTTCCGTCGTCGGTCGGCGTGTCTTTATCAGTCCATCTCAACCACAATCTGATAATCAATTGCGAAGTCCTTCCAAATCGGACTTCGTAATCCCTAACTTCACACTGGACGACAACATGGGTGTCATCCGCAAAAAGACGGCCACCAGAGGTGGTGAGAGTGGTGTTAAATATGTTTGCGATGTTTGCTCGGCGGACATCACCTCTACAGTACGTCTTTATCGTCGCGTTCCTACTATTGCCATTCCTATCTTCTCCTATCTAGCCTCTTTATCAATGCTAATTGAACTCTATTTCTACAGGTCCGAATAAGATGCGCGCACAGCGCATGCAACGAGTATGACCTCTGCGTTCAGTGTTTCTCTATGGGCGCCTCGAGTGGTTCTCATCAACCAGCTACCCATCCCTACAGGGTTATCGAACAAAATTCATTCCCTATCTTCGACAGAGACTGGGGTGCAGATGAGGAACTGCTGCTTCTCGAAGGCTGCGAGACCTACGGGCTTGGATCGTGGGCCGATATTGCAGATCACATTGGTGGCTACCGTCACAAAGATGAGGTTAGAGACCATTATCTCAAGGTGTATGTTGACTCGCCGTATTTCCCACTTCCGGAACGTTGCAAACCATCCGACATGGGACTGGCACAAGATGTATCCCGCGAAGAATTCCAGGCGCGCAAGAAGCGACGCATCGAAGATCGCAGGGAGGCTCAGAAGAACGCACCCCCGATGCCGCCCAAGACAAAGCCCACGGCTAGTGTGCCTTCCTGTCACGAGATTCAAGGCTACATGCCCGGCCGACTCGAGTTTGAGACCGAGTATGCTAATGAGGCCGAAGAGGCAGTCCAATTGATGCAGTTCGACCCCGGTGACGGTATCAATCCCCATACAGGAAACTTAGAACCGGAAATGGAGCTCAAACTCACTGTCATGGACATCTATAACTGCCGGTTAACCCAGCGCGTGGAACGAAAGAAAGTGATTTTCGAACACAATTTGCTGGAGTATAGGGAAAATAACAAGCAAGAAAAGAAGAGATCCAAGGAAGAACGAGACCTTCTGAGCAAAGCCAAGCCTTTTGCGCGCATGATGAACCATGATGACTTCGAGGCGTTCTGTCAAGGTTTAGTTGACGAGTTGAATCTACGACAAGCAATTACGCAGCTGCAGGAATGGAGGAACATGAAGATCGGCGATCTTCGTAGCGGAGAAAAGTACGAACAAGAGAAAAGCCAACGCATACAGAAGGCCATGCCGATGGGTTCGATGGACCGCGAACGACTAGCTTCGGCGCAGCGATCCAAGCAGAACGTTCAACCGGAACCACCTAGTGGAGCTGCTCTGCTCATAGCGCCTGAGCTCCCATTTAGACCTGCTACAGCTGGAACGGTACCTCAAGACGCCCTAGATGCTTCGGCAAACGGCGAACCCAAGCCGCTCGCAAATGGGTACACGAACGGAGTTACCAATGGAGTTATGACTAACGGAGCACTTGCGCCGGGAAAGCAGAAGTTCATCTCACAGCCTATTTCAGGCGTACAGCCTCTACTGCTAACCCAAGACAACGCTCCAGACTTACATCTACTTACACCGGAGGAAGTAGAATTGTGTAAGGTTTGCCGAATACAACCAAAGCCGTATTTGATGATAAAAGAGCAGGTATTCAAGGAAGGTCTAAAAGGCAACGGAGCCTTGAAGAAGAAGCAAGTGAAGGAGATTTCCCGACTGGACTCGCAGAAGGGAAGCAGAATTTTCGATTTCTTTATTAACTCGGGCTGGATTGCCAAGGCCTAGGCTTTTCCGGTAGTAAGTTTAGGGACACCATTAGATGCGATAGGTTCAATATCCTATCAAATTCTTTGGAGCTTTACCCTTAGTTACCTTGCGAGCATGTTGGAGTAATGTATGTATATCTTTTTTCTCAAAAAGAAGAGAGCAGATGGGGTAGTGGGAGATGGCTGATAACATATGCAGCACATTCATCTCTTCGGCCAAACAGGTTCTGCATAGTTGAACTGCGGCAGAATCCGTGATTAATACAATAGCCTTAGAGTATGAGTCTCGTCTCGAGTAACGAGTAACTGAATACGACGTACCATAGATACGTTGATAATACGATAGCAGCTGATGCAAGCTTACAAGTACTCTTCGCGATGTCTTAATATAGTTTCATTTTATAAGACAATTCGTAATACGTGTTGAGGGTTAGGTAATGAAATGGTAGATAAGTGTACATAATAAGTATACATAATGAGGTACCCAAGTTAACCAGTATAAGATCAGTGTAAGATATACAGTGTAGTTATGGGAGACGGAAACTGCATAGTACATAGGTACTACTTCATAGCATACCTAATCATAAGCCACACTTGAACTCTCCACCCGCTCCCCCCAAATTCTAATCGCCTTAACCACGTTCTAATCGCGCCTAGACCATTCCTATTTCTACCTGTCGGTCCGCGCCCTAGTGCGACCTTTCCCCCCCCCTCTTCCCACGATGGTAATTGGCTATCAAACAATCGTAGGCTTCATGCCGCGTCGAAACCTCCTCCTCCCGACAATTTGTATCGTCCTCCTTATTGCGGCATGGACCTTCCGAAATCCGAGTCCCTCTATTGAAAGATGGCTTGACACATCTGCTATACGAGGTACTACATCGCCGACGATACCACCAAACTCATCGCCACTCCTCTCATCTTCTAACGGTCCTCCAACCCAATTTCACAATGATGTCGATTTATCCTCTCCTGACGCTCCCTTTGTCGTCTGGCCGTTGCAAAGAGTATGCAAAGAGGCTATGTGGGTGGAAGGGTTAGTTTATATATGCGACAACAATTCTGGTGGAATTGGTAATATACGAAATTACATCCAGACTTGCATACGGTATGGTCTCGAAGCTGGCGCAACGGGTTTCGTTATGCCCAAGATCCGAAAACGCAATGAGACAGACCTAGCCGACCTCTTCACTGACTATCTACCACTCGAATACATGTTTGATGAGAACCACTTCAAAGATGCCTTTACCCTCAGCTGTCCCCAGATCACGCTCTACGACAATATCAAGGACATACCCGGCATAGGTAGCAAGCCTAACATCGAGCATATCACACCCAAGAAGTTTGGAAACCGCGAAGGCTGCGATTGGCGAGACCAGAATCGTCACACGGATCGTTTCGGTGATAGATTCCGCAGGTGGTTGAACGATGTCAAGAATGGACAACTCCCACCGTCGAAAGATCACCCGCGATTAATACGTTTTAATTGGGGTGTTCTCTGGGACTGGCAGGTCTATCGTGACGGCCCCGAATTTGCGAACACGTTCGGTAACATCCTAAAATTCAATGATCAGCTGCTTCGCCTAGGAGAGGTTACGCTACAAAAAATGCATGCGTATGCGAAGGCTAATGGAGTCGAGGATGGCAAGTTCCTCGGCGTACACTTGAGAACAGAGAGCGACGCGCTGAGCTTCTGGCCGACTTACACTACTCAGACGGATGCCTATCTAAAACAAGCTACCAAGCGAGGCTTTGAAGCGGCGTACATAGCCACGGGAGACCCTCTCGAGGCGCAAAATTTTGCAGGGGCAGCCATCGAGATGGCGCAGATGAGAGTGGTTAGCAAGACAGATCTGCTAGAGGACGAAGATTTAGAAGAGCTGGAGTCGTTGAGCTGGGATCAACAGGGCCTAATCGATCTGATCGTCCTCCTGGGGAGTGACTACTTTGTAGGTACAATGCCGAGTAGTTTCTCGATTTACATAGCGATGAAGCGGCACTTAAAGACGGAAGGTATCTATACGAGGCCTTATAAGGTCGGATCGGAAGGAGATGGACTGTCGTATCTCGTGGGTAACTATGAAAAGTACTGGGAAGGTTGGCTCTACATGTGGGATGGTATGTGGCCTTGAGACATGTCTTTAGCAGAGTAGCATACCTTTCTCAGATGCGAGTATCATACATAACAATAGTATTACAACAACAGTATGTCCATGGGATAGTACCTACGTACATGTATCTGAAAGGTACCTATAATTTACATGTGAAAGGAGCTCGAAAGGGATCCCTTACCTACGTGTGTATCCAAAATATGTTTTATTTATGTGCATATGCCTAGGTACCTCCTAGGTAATCTAGTCTAATATATATGCATAATTTAAGATTATGTATGTAACCATACTCTTTTTTAAAAGCATATACTTGTACCTAGGTAATCTTCAAGGAGCAGAAACTCAAGGAAGAACTTAAGCAAGAACTCAAGTTCACGACCTCGACATCAATTTTATAATCATCTTAACTAACAAACTCATTTGGCTCCCGGTTCACTCCCTAAACAAATACTAAGCTTCTCTACGCTGAGATAACTTTCTACTACGTCCAAAATGTCCATGACAACCATCTCTAGCCTTCAGCGCATCACAGCGTCAAAGCTAGCTGAGATGTTACTTGTCGGCGCAAACCCGCCGTCTTCGGAAGCAACCATAGCCATTGTTGACGTTCGAGATGACGGTATGTGTTGCTATCTCATTTTAAGGCTTTGATATTTTAGTGAAACTAGACGAATCGCCTATTAATTAAATTTGGCTTGGTTTGGCCTGACCTCTCTCGCCTCATTTATTATACCTACTTAAGGACATACTAATATAACTTTTATACCGGCGCGCAGATCATATAGGCGGGCACATCAAGTCATCGCTGCATTTCCCCAGCCGCAGCCTTGACGCTACCATGCCCACCCTATTGCGCAAGCTCGCCGACAAGGAGATAGTCATCTTCCACTGCGCCTTGAGCCAGCAGCGCGGTCCTAGCGCCGCCCTAAGATACCTTAGAGAAAAGGAGGCGACAACGTCGGCGGCGAAGAGGGCTAAAGAGGAGAAAGAGGCTAAAAGTGAGGGTAATGCGGCCAAGCAACAGCAAGTCTACGTTCTAGATAGGGGCTTCGTCGGCTGGCAGGAAGTCTATGGCCCTGATGAGCGTCTCACGGAGGCGTATAGGAAGGAGTTGTGGGAGAATGGGTATTAGACCAAGGTCACGACCAGAAAACCGTAGTATTAGAGATTGGCGTTTTAGTCAAGATGGGCCAAGAATCATGTCTATTTGGCGTGTGTGGTTGTAGATTATATTCGGTAAGCCTGTTCTATCACCTTCCCTGGTAACTTCTTCCGCTCACATGTGCTCAGAGGGGGGAGCCAATTCCTTGACGCCGCTGTGTGCAGTCCTTAGGATGGCGGAATCGAGTTCTAGACTTCAAGGTCAAGACGTGGCATTCCATTGTAGATCGAGCATAGTTTATTTAACCAAAGCTTTGAACCTCAGTCACCATTGATTGGCTTTTTCAAGTTGAATTTAGTTCGATATAGGATTTAGTTAATTTGGTAGAGCAATATATCTTAAACCTTAATACTCTTAGTTTTATACCTCGTGGGTCATTTATAGTACGGACATACGTAGTGATTCTCTTTAAGAGAGTTGAGGAATAGGATTTGACTTTACGCGAATGGTTGAAGTAGATACATACCTTATGTATGTTTGAAATTTATAACCTTAGCAGGTCGCAAGAGAATATATATCTACATAAACGTTCTCTATATGGAGTTCTATATATTTTCTAGGTTGGTAGAATATAGATTATATCTAGAGTATATCAATAGTTTCATACGTGATCGACCGAGGTTGTCTCACTGCGTGAGTTCAAATTGGATTTACGTAGGTAGGTCTCAAGGTGTCTTGGAATCTACACGATAAGCTCATTGCTTGCCGAGGGGCCAGAAGCTTTTAGCTAGAGAAGGCTCATTCTTAGATATATAATAAAGACATGCTCACGGTGGATCGAGAGAATTTGAGTTCTCGCATTGACGCAAGGGTATATTAACATAGGTATATATATATAGAAGCAATTCTCTTTTGATATGCCATATACTTCTACCAAATAGCTATGTTAGATAACCCATTACTCCCTTCCTGGTCTATCTTGAAAAACATCCCAACAAACTCCTAGCACTCAACATTCTCGAATCTACAGCCATGGTTCGCCTACCCACCACCCATCGGGACGACCTACACCGTCACGTATCTATCAGTACTCTTCCAAAACTATCTCGAGCGGGCACATTCGAGATCGAACTGCACTACTTCATGCTACACCTCCGCTACGGCGTCCGGAAAACGGGGAAACTCTGCAAAAAGCTTGCCAAAGCCCTGAGATATCTCCCGGTTGTTCCATACCTTCCCTGCGTATGCTTCTTCATACTTGCGGACAAACTCATAACGTTTATGAAACATGGATCTACGGAAATCTCTTCAGACGAGATTATATATTTCCCACATCCGGAATGCTCTAGCGATGGCAATTTCAATGTGGTCATCATAGAGACACGGGAGGTTGAAGGCTGAACGGCGAAGCTTAGAACATAATGCCTAATGGAGACAACCCATCTATCTCGAGCTCCGAAACAATGATATTCTTGCTCTACGGAGCCTATCGAGGACCTAAATGAGGATCGGTACCGATATTGATGAAATTAGATATGGAAGAAATGTGATTTATTTGGGGGGGATTAGGTACATTATAAGGAGAGAAATAAAAGTGTTGTATAATAGCACCAACTCTTCAATAAATCTATCGTATACAATAGTAAACGATAGTCCTACTTGTACTACTTAGGTACTTACTATAATGAAGTTTCCAACATGGCATTGATGTGGGTTAGTAGTAACTTGAAAAAGGCTTAAACCACTTCAATATTGCATGAAAGCTCTAAACCAATTCTCGTCGTGGAATAGCTCATAGACTCGAATAGGTACTTGCAATCTACTCACTCTACAGCTTTCTAATCCTGTGGATTTTATTCATAAATAAAGTTGTAATTGAGTGGTAAACGGGGCTTATTTCAAACTATATACATATTAAGCATCCGTTAATGTAGATGCTTCGCGCTATTTATAGGGATTATGACAATAAGGGATGCGAGCTTAGTCGCGCTCAAGTGTATACCGTTACAATATTAATATTATGGAGAGGAAACAATATGCTAGAGCTTACGATAGAAACATGGGTGACTATTTCTTTAATAGGTAAAGCTTTGAAATTATTCGTAATTGATCCGACTTTTCTTTCTTCATGTTTAATAATATCTGATAGGACGGCTTTTTCTGCTTTTCATTAAGCTTCAGCATGGTGGTACCAATAAGAACTGGTGAATATATACAAGAACACCACCAAATGAATAAAACATATCTCTTTTTCAAAATGACCTTTATGACCGACCCCTATTTACTTCCAATCCTAAATAATCAATGTTAGCCGCCCTGTCTCCGATCATGTTTTCATGTTTTCATATTTTCCACGTAACCCATCTCATCATCCAATGTTTACAGTTTCGAGAACGAAGTCGGCACGCTCCCGCCCATTTCGACCAACGTGCTCTTATTCCTAACCCACGCCTCGAGCCCTCTCTTCCCGTTCTCTACTCCGACACCACTTAGCTTCCAGCCGCCGACTGCCATCTCGGCGGGACTTTCGCCCCAGGTATTTACCCAGGTAATGCCGGCCTCGAGTTTCGAGATAATACTGTGGCATAGGTCGATATCACGACCCACTACTCCGGCGGCAAGTCCCAGATCTGTGGCGTTGGCGCGCTGGACTGCCTCATCGACTGTGTCGTACGCCAGGATTGTCATCACAGGTCCGAAGATCTCTTCCTTCACGATGGTCATCTCATCAGTGCAATCCGTAAATACTGTCGGTTGGACCCAGTAGCCCTCTTTTAATTCGGGAGGTATGCCGGATGGTTGCTCTAACCCGCCGCTCAGTAACGTCGCCTTGTCTTGCTCGATACCCTGGCGTATGTACCGAATCACTTTGTCGTAATGCATCTTGCTACTAAGAGGCCCAAAGTTGGTTGTCGGATTGAAAAGATCGCCCGCTCGGACGAATTTTATCTTCTCGAGCAAGGTGCGCTCGAATGACTTTTTTATCGAATTCGGGACAAATACTCGCGTGCCGTTTGTACAAACTTGGCCGGTACTGAAAAAATTTGCCATCATAGCTACGTCTACGGCTTGGTCCACAGCCGCGCCTGGAAGGATAACTAATGGACTCTTGCCACCCAGCTCCATGGTCACGTACTTCATCCCCCCGGCAGCAGCGCCGGCTACCTTCATCCCGGTGCTGACCTGTCCGGTGAAACTAACCTTCGCGATGGCAGGGTGTCTCGTTAGATAGGACCCGACGTCGCCGCTGCCGTATACGACGTTGAAGACGCCGTCCGGGAGGCCAGCCTTGCGGTAGAGATCAGCTAGGTATTCGGCATGTAGTGGCGTGTACTCGCTCGGTTTGTAAACCATGCAATTTCCGGCAGCCAAACAAGGCGCGGACTTCCAGAGGGCGATTTGGATTGGGTAGTTCCAGGCCCCGATGCCGGCGCAAACACCTAGAGGTTCTTTAGACGTGTATACCATAGCCGACGGCCGAAGGCGAAAAGATTCGCCATTTAATCCACCACTGGCTACTAGGTTTGCATAATACTCGAGAACGTCCGCTCCCGTGGTGATATCTACTGTTGAAGTTTCCGAGAAGGGCTTCCCGGTGTCGATTGTTTCGACACGCGCGAGAGCATCGTTATACTCACGTAGGAGAGCGACGGCTTGCTGTAGAATACGTGCTCTTTCTACAGCGGGGGTGCTAGACCAGGAAGAAAATGCTTCTTGGGCTGATTGGATTGCGGCATCGACAGATTTTGGTGAAGAGCTATGTATCTTGCAGACGGCCTTCCCGGTTGATGGGTCGATAGATTCAAAACTGCCTGAGGATGGTGCTAAAGGCCGCGGGTGTCCCGCGTAGAATGCATGTCTGTCTAAATCCCTGAACTCCATGATATATATCCACGCTACTGAATTGATGAGAAATAGTAGTGAAATTGCAGTCGTAGTTGAATCTCTAGATAGTTAGTAAGTCGTCTTCTCTTCTATGAGTAAAATGTGAGGCTTGATATGAGTGGCTGGTGGTGATTGAGGGCTTGATTGAGGCCCGAGGGTAGGGTGTGTTCCTATCTTCAATATCAACAGGGAGCCCCTTGATACGAGATATTGCTAGAATATAAACTAAAATAAAAATGGTGCGTAGATACGAAGCTATCGGTGTAACTTGGACTCGAAACACGAACTTCGGACGTAGATATTTATTGGGTCGATTCCGGGTAAAATTCACGTCATCAAGTGGATATGTAAAACACGGTGTTGGTAGTATGTATTACCAATTTGCGGCTCCCGAACGAGCCCCGCCAGTTTGTTCGAAGCTGACGCCTCGTGACGGTAGAATGTTTATCAGTCTTGTCTCGTTGAATCTCAAAGTCTCAGCTAGACCTCATATGTTTCGTTATCTAGTGAAGATTGTGTTTTTGATAGACTGGAGATAACTCGGGATACCTCGAGATAACTCGAGATAAGAATCGAGTGGTGGCAAGCAAACGTTGAAGCGCGGGTAGGTTAACTTCTTAAGGTATGAAAATTGGTTACTAGCCAAGTAAAATTGGTGGGTTGGCAAGACTAAGAGGTTTATCTTTACCCAACTTAGGATAGCTCAAACAACCAGATCGACCTTGTTCTGCTTGTTCCGGGTTATTCTCCCCACACCATTATGTGTTCTTTGCCCGGCAGCCCGGCCACGATTCGGAACGAGTCAGGTAAGTCAGGCAAGTCAGGCCATTCACCGCTCCGCACATAAGATTTTTGCTGCACGTATACAATTCATGTAACCGTAGACCAGCAATACTAGTGGGGTCGATTGTGAAGGATCAAGCTTGTCAGGATCCTTATCTCGAAATTTGTATAGCGCTTGACCGAGTCCCGAACCGCCTTGGCAACTTTGCTATGGAGCTCGCCGAAGGGTTTGAAAGATTAATAGACCCTGATTGCCACATGGCAAAGTGCTGTCTTGCTGACTTGTAACATCACAGGACCTGCAGCTAAATATACGTGTTTAGCTAATCTCCAGTTGTTCCAAGTCATTCCAAGTAGGAAGAAACGTTTACAGGAAGAAAAAAAAAAGACAACAAGAAAAAGAAAACCCAAAAACAAGATGACCACTACGCAACTCCCAATATCAGATTCCGACAAGTATGATTATGTAGTTGTTGGTGGGGGTACCGCGGGCTGCGTCGTTGCGGCGAGGTTGGCAGAGTATCTACCACACAAAAGCATCCTTCTCATTGAGGCTGGCCCTAGTGATTTCATGGATGATCGCGTGCTCGACCTTAAGCAATGGTTAAAGCTGTTAGGTGGTGAGCTCGACTATGACTACGGCACTACCGAACAGCCTATGGGTAAGTCCTTGTACTCTACTAAGTTAAACTTGTCCCTTGTCTTACCGTAACCTATAGGCAATTCTTATATTAGACATTCGCGAGCTAAGGTTTTGGGAGGCTGCTCTTCGCATAATACCTTGATCTCTTTCAGACCGTTTCAGTATGACCTGGATATCTGGCAGTCATTGGGAGCACGGGGCTGGACTTTTCCCATGTTTATGAAAGCGTTGGATAGACTGAAGAATACCATTCAACCAGTTCATGCAAGACATCGCAACCAATTGTGTCAGGATTGGGTTGATTCATGCAGCTCTGCCCTGAATATTCCCGTTATTGATGATTTCAATAAGCAAGTTTCGCAAACTGGTTCCTTAAAACCTAGCGTCGGATTCTTTTCAGTGAGCTACAATCCGGACGACGGAAGACGATCCAGCGCTTCCGTCGCGTATATTCACCCCATCCTGAGGGGTGAAGAGAAGCGGCCAAACCTGACGATTCTGACGCATGCGTGGGTGTCAAAAATCAACGTTAGCGGAGATGCTGTTAGTGGAGTAGCTCTGACGTTGAAAGATGGCTCATCACGTACTATCAAGGCGAAGGCTGAGACGATATTGAGCGCAGGGGCTGTAGATACCCCTCGTCTTATGTTGCTATCAGGTCTTGGGCCTAAGAAGCAACTGTCAGATCTTAATATCCCCGTCGTCCGCGATATCCCGGGCGTCGGTGAGAACCTTCAGGACCACCCCGAAAGTATTATCATGTGGGAGCTAAAGAAGCCCGTGCCGCAAAATCAGACAACGATGGATTCCGACGCGGGAATCTTCTTGCGTCGCGAAGCACCTGGCGCCGGAGCTAAGAAATCAGCTGCTAACCCACAAGGTCTTTCTGATGGAGATATTGCGGATGTCATGATGCATTGCTACCAGATCCCATTCACGCTCAACACACTTCGATTAGGATATCCCGATATCCCAGACGGCTACGCTTTCTGCATGACACCGAACATCCCACGGCCGCGCTCCCGAGGTCGACTATATCTTACATCTGCAGACCCCAAGGTTAAACCGTCGCTTGATTTCCGGTATTTCACAGACCCGGAAGGCTACGATGCGGCTACTTTAGTATACGGCATGCGAGCGGCACGCAAGGTAGCAGAGCAAGCGCCGTTCAAAGACTGGATCAAGAAGGAGATTGCACCTGGACCAAAAGTTCAATCAGATGAGGATCTTAGCCACTACGCGCGCAAAGCAGCGCACACGGTTTACCACCCATGCGGAACAACCAGGATGGGCGACACGACGAAAGATGAGATGGCTGTTGTTAACGAGAAGCTAAAAGTTAAAGGACTGAAGAAACTGCGCATTGTAGATGCTGGAATATTCCCGACTATTCCTACTATCAATCCTATGTTAACGGTATTGGGTGTTGCTGAGAGGGCTGCTGAACTGATTGCCGAAGAAGCTGAATCCGAAAAGGAGAAGGCCAGGCTATGATCGGGTGTAAATGTTGATTCATATAAGAAGTAATTCCAGGGTTAAAAAGACCGTTGTAAGAAAATAGATGTCCAGTTTAGCTAGTTAATACCTTAGGTACCTTTATGATGTAGGTAAACTTGAAGGTTGAGAGAAGAAGAAGGTTGTTCTTAATAATTTCCAAGATCTCCCGAAATTTGATTTGACATGATGGTTACAGCGATGGTTACAGGTACTTAGGCACAACCACCCCCTGTATTTCAAGGTTCCAATCTTTGGACTGGGTTAAGCCTCTGTGGCTGAAAGGCGGTCAAGAGATAACGCAGCTAGTGGACTAAAACGCGCTAGACCGTACGGAATAGTCTGGGCAGAATCCCCGCCAAGTCCAATTTTTTTTCCTAAGATTTACAAGTCGCATCAAGTCCAAGTTCAGATTTTTGTTACGAGCTATCGTTAATTAAAAATAATTAAAAAAATCGCAATGTCTGCGGTTCGTGCTGGGAATCGTGCGCCAAAAAAGCAGCAGCCACACAAAGAAAATACAAAGTCGTTAAAGAGGAAACGGGATCAGGAAGATGTCCAAAAACTACAAAATGCTGTAGACGAGCTTGTAAGTAATACTCTTCTTGAAATGTCGTTATGAAGAATAGAGCTGACAGAATCTTCTTTTTTACCTTTTTAGGAATTGAAGTCTGAAGACACACCCAAGTTCTCAACGTTACCACTTTCAAAACCGACTGCTTCTGGCCTCGAAGCGTCGCATTTCCAAAACTTAACCGATGTTCAGGCCCGAGCGATTCCTCTTGGCTTAAAGGGTCGCGATATTCTCGGCGCCGCGAAGACCGGTTCCGGAAAGACCCTTGCTTTCCTAGTTCCCGTCCTCGAGAAGCTTTACCGCGCGCAATGGACCGAATACGACGGACTAGGAGCTCTTATTATCTCCCCTACGCGCGAGCTTGCCGTGCAGATTTTTGAGGTGCTGCGTAAGATTGGAAGATATCATACCTTTTCCGCCGGTTTGGTCATCGGAGGCAAAAGTCTACGCGAAGAAGCTGAAAGGTTGGGGAGGATGAACATTCTAGTTTGTACCCCAGGCCGTATGTTACAACATCTAGATCAGACGGCCGGATTCGATGTCGACAATTTACAGATACTAGTCCTGGATGAGGCTGACCGAATAATGGATATGGGATTTAAATCTGCTGTGGATGCACTTGTAGAGCATCTTCCCAAATCGCGGCAGACGATGTTGTTCAGCGCTACGCAAAGCAAGAAGGTCTCGGATTTGGCAAGATTAAGCTTAAAGGATCCCGAATACGTAGCTGTCCACGAAGCTGCCGCTGCCGCGACCCCTACGACGCTAACACAACACTACCTTACTACGCCCGTAGCAGAAAAAATGGAAACTCTATATGGCTTTATAAAAGCCAACCTTAAGAGCAAGATGATTGTATTCCTGTCGTCAGGAAAGCAAGTTCGTTTCGTATATGAGAGTTTTCGCCATCTACAACCTGGTATCCCGCTACTACATTTACATGGCAGGCAGAAGCAGGTGGCGCGACTGGAGATTACGTCGAGATTTTCCGCGGCTAAATATTCCTGTCTTTTTGCTACGGATGTGGTTGCGCGTGGTGTGGACTTCCCTGCGGTTGACTGGGTAGTCCAGATGGACTGTCCCGAAGATACTGACACCTACATTCATCGAGTTGGGCGGACTGCGCGCTACGAAAGAGATGGAAAGGCAGTACTATTTCTGGACCCGAGCGAGGAGAAAGGGATGCTTAAGAGATTGGAGCAGAGGAAGGTACCCATACAAAAAGTCAATGTACGGGATAAGAAGAAACAGAGCATCAAGAACCAGATTCAGGATATGTGTTTTAAGAATCCGGATCTAAAGTACCTTGGGCAAAAGGCATTTATCAGTTACACCCGTTCCGTTCACTTACAAAGAGACAAGGAAATCTTCAACCTGAAAAAGCTGGATTTGGATGCGTATGCTGCCAGCTTGGGATTGCCTGGTGCGCCGCAAATCAGATTCCAGAAGGGTGAAGATGTGAAGAAGTTGAAGAATGCACCTCGTGCTGGGTTGTCTAGCGACTCGGAGTCCGAACTTGACGAAGACAAGAAAAAGCGAAAGAAGGGCGAAATCCGGACGAAGTACGACCGCATGTTCGAGAGGACGAACCAAGACGTGCTGACAAATCACTACAATAAAATGATTGGCGACGAGGGGCAAGGAGCGAGCGATGACAATGACGACGATCAAGACTTCCTTTCCGTGAAGCGAGTACTGGAAGGAGATGACTTAGACGACGCCGAGGAGGGCAATGGGCTGGCTCCCGGAAAGAAGATCATCACAGGTCTTGGCGGCGAAGAGCCATTCGTGGTAGATTCTAAGCGTAGGGAAAAGATGCTAAAGTCCAAGAAAAAGATGCTTAAATTCAAGGGTAAGGGAGACAAGGTAGTATTCGACGATGAGGGGATAGCGCATCATCCGTACAGAATCAAGGGCGAAGAAGACTTTATACAGGACGGATCCGCAGAGGCTCAGCGACAGAAATTTGTGGAGAGTGAAGCGGTTAAGGTCAAGGAAGCGGATATCAACGATAAACAACTCGCCAAGGACAGACGGCGGGAGAAGAAAGAGAAACGGAAAGCTCGGGAGGCAATGGAAGATGATGAGGCGATGGGTAGCATGCCCAGACTCTCGGGTGGTAACGACGGGGAAGATCCTCTCGCTCTTATGGCATCTCTACCAATGGTAGGAAAAGGGGAAGGTGAAAGGAGTGGTAACGAAATGTCCGAAGAGGAGCGTCCGCAGAAGAAAGCGAAGAAGTGGTTTCAAGACGACTCAGAAGATGAGAGACAGAAGGAAAAGAGTAGAAAAGGCAAAGGAAAAGTTATCGAAGTTGGCGAGGCACCAGATACCCTGGAGGATTACGAGGCGTTGGCTGCAGGACTGCTCGAAGATTGAAGAGTATGAAGTATTTAGGTATAATTTAAATAGGACGATGCTTGTTGCAGTTCCACAAAATTTGTTTTGATTAGAGTAAACTGTTTCTAACGGTTTCTAAAGTTGAAAGAGTATCACAAGCTAAAGTTGAAAAGCGTATTCATACGTGTAAGACATGTGTGTAGCAGAAGATGTATGTAGTAGGAGGTGATTATCGATAAATGCCTCCTATTGTAATGTAATCGGTACCTACATGTATACTACCCCGCGACCCCTCCATATCCCTTCTCACCTTCCCACCTTCCCACCTATAAAAGGAGGGGACCTTTTAAGCTGCCTTGACCCATAAAATTGTCAAGCCGTCTTACTGTAAGGAACGTCGCATTCAATCATCAACTCTCTCAACCCCCAGCTCTCGTCAGCCGCGACAACGAGGTCCCACCTTTAGTCTATACTTACTCATATAATCTCGTCAGATCATAAGTTATTTACGTCCTCGTCCTCTCGGTCCGATATGAGAAAGACGACCTTTCCCTAAGGTTCCTAAGGCGTAGTATGGCAAGCGATATTCCATGAATAACAACCTTCGTCGTTCTCAGCCTCGAGGACATCTAATTCTACAAACGGTCAAATTAGAGAGAATATAATAATAGACAATTGGACTATACTGAGACGGATATGGCGACGATTGAGAACGGGTCGACTCTGTCCCATCCCCGTACGAACGGCACGACGTCCAACGAGTTCAAGGTTCTATGTCACGGGCTCAAGGCTAAGGTGGACAGCTTTCTCGATACACCCACAGATGATAATGTCCTCAATTCCGTGAAGAATCAAATAATTATCGCAAGAGGTGTCATAGACGAAGCGCTACGGCGATATAGGTGCATAATCTCCCTTTTGAATTTTCTTTTTCTTTTCCTTTCCCTTCCGTTTCCGAGTCCAACTTCCTCGAGCTAACTACAATACGGTAGACCCGAAGAGTTATCTATATCTTATAACGGCGGGAAAGACTGCCTCGTACTATTAATACTAATTCTCGCCTCACTCCCCTCATCCGTTTCATTGCAGCCATCCTCGTCACAGGCCTCGGCAGCCACTCAACCCGAATCTTCTTTGCCTCTACCATTCCCGCACCGATTACAAGCCCTATACATCCGGCCGCCTCTCCCCTTTGCTGAGGTAGATGAATTCGTCACGACGACCTCGTCAGTTTACCACCTCGATCTCACCACGTCGAACCAGCCCATGAAGCCTGCGTTGACCGAATACCTGCGCGATCGTCCCGAGGTCAAAGCCGTGTTTGTCGGAACGAGGAGGACAGACCCACACGGCGCAGCCCTAACTTTCTTCGACGAAACCGATGCCGATTGGCCTCGCTTCATGCGCATACATCCCGTCATCGACTGGCATTATCGCGAGGTTTGGGGCGTAAGTCCTTCCCTTCATTGCTTATTAGTTCTTCCTCCCATTCGGCATTTTCCTCAGCTAGGATTTTAATAGGAATAAGATAAGAAACTAATTAGTTTGTGGACAAATACTAAAATGAGGGATTAGTTTATACGAGCTCTAGACATTCCATACTGCCCACTTTACGATATGGGATACACATCGCTAGGCGGCATAGACGATACGCACCCAAATCCGGCGCTAAAAGAGGGCGGGAAAGGGTCCAACAGCGAAGTAGATGGGCAACACTTCCGACCGGCGTATGAGTTAACAGAGGATAGAGAAGAGAGGCTGGGTAGAGATCGATAGCATTATCATGTTTTTATAAGCAAACATCAGGATGGTTGTTTCTCTTATGGTTTACAATTTAGAACAGCAGATAGTTCACACGAAATCCCAGCGACGATGAAGTGGACTAAGGGCAGCATATTTGGTATTCTGCACAGGTCTATGTCTATACATATGTACTCTCATACGGAGACGGGACAGTTGGAAGATTCGAGCTGCTCGGATGGTTTGGTTAGATAAAGAGAGGATTGGTTACTTACATAACCTACCTTATTTAGTTTCCTCATAGAAGGTAGATAGGTATTTATCTCCGCTTACTTTCTCTAGAGTTACTGGGAGAAGAAATAGATAGGCAAATGCGCTCATTATGAGATTTGGTTGTTTTAAACGTAATAGACGGCCTTTATGTGTTTAAATGTCTAGTAGGCGTAGGGGATAACGAGGCTTATTCATTGTGGGTGATATAAATGAGAAATGTTCAACCTTAAGGATTTAAAGGCTTATAATTACTTACCTCTTTCTAGTCATCCCCCCTTTTTCGTAATAGATAGCATGCTGTACTTGAAAAGAGCCTCCGCTTTCAAGGGCGAAGTCATTCAAAGCAAGCATGCGGATTTCAATAGACAAAGACAGCTAGCCACTTGTTCATAATAGTATTTGCTTGACCAGAGTATCAAAGTGCGCATGCACATTTATCTCTATGTATGATCGACGAGAGAGAAAAATATATCAAGGGAAGAAAAATAAATAAAAAGCTAAAATTGAGCAAAATATTATCTATTTACAAGCTTGGTATCATCGCATCAATCCCTCTGACCATTTGTCTGTCAGCCCTTCTTCGCTCCGACTTCCTGCCGTTCATGCGAAATACCAAGAATCAATACCAAAACTCCGTTAATAAATCTTTCTTGTTAGGTCGTTGGTTTAGGTAGTAAGATGAAACTAACTTAACCTGTCTATTGTGTCTGCGCGCCCGTCTCGTTGAATTTCGCCTATGCGATTTCATCTCGTGCTTGTGTTGTTGCCCCCTTTCTTAATGGGATGACTCCAAATTAAATAGGGCACGTATCAAACGCCTTATTCTCAACGGGTTACTTCATGCGATTTCCCTTCCACGACCTCGCCGTATAATCTGAGACGGTAGAAGCACGTATGGTCCGCGCCGTAGTTTGTTACCGCCTTGACAATGATGTGGCTGGTAGCAGCACGCATGCGCATAAGCTCGCTACTCATCTTAAAGATCTGAGTGCCATCGCCGTAGTCCCTGTTTTCATACGTGAAGTGGCCAATCTTGACGAAGCCCTCCGGTCCCGTGGTAGCCTCGGCTGCGAGTGGAATGGGCATGTGACTCGATGAGAAAGCGCGTACCTCGTCACGCAGCGTCACCTCTTCGATATACGCCCACACCTCGATATCCTTGGGCATCGCGCCCGGGTCCAGTGTCGAGCTGGGCAAGATATGCTCTACAACTAGGTGCTGTGGAATGACGATGCGGCTTGTCAATACCCCAATCGCGTTGGCGATTTGCGGCACCCCTCTGACGATCTTCCCGGCGCAGAAGCATTCGCCTTCTTCGCTCCAGAAGGTTACGGCAGACGATTGGGGCTGGGGCCTGTAGCCGTCACGAAGGTACCACTTCTTAGATTTTAGCTTTAAGTGGTCGCTGGGGGGTTCCCAGATTGATGAGCTGGAATAAGGATCGATGACTGCGCCGGCGCCCATGCCGAAGAAGTTGACCTGATTTATGAGCATATCATTCGCGTGGCCACGTATACGGCCGCTGGCCAAGGCGTCGAGTTTGGCATTCTCGATAGCTTTCCGTATTGCCCCATCGCAGATGATTTTGACTTCCTTTTCGGTCAAACCTCCATGTGTATTCTTGGCAGAATTACGGAGCTTGGTCACGGTATCCACGAGCTCTTTGATCCGAGAATCCTGAGCTACGAGCTCCTTGCGGATTTCTTGCTGGTAAGACTTGATTTCACCTCGGAATAGCTTTATGAATTCCTCCCTAGAAACAGCAACTCCACCCACCATTCTCTTTAATTCTTCCTGATTCTGACTCACCCAGTGGTCCCAGGACCGCAGGAATGATGCTTTATCAACTGGTGCTGCATGCTCTCCCGAAGAAGTGTTTGACCCGGTTTGTAACCCGAACCCGTCCTTGCTTAAACGTGATTTTATCGCGAGCCAGTGCGCGTTCGAGATTTCCGGGGCCGCCTTTTTGACATTTTCCAAAGTCAGAATAATATCGTCTTCCCTAATTAAGTCTCGTAGAGCGTGCCAGAAATCTTGTGATATCTTAAACTTGCCGTTTACGTCCTTTTCGACGAAAACTTGATCGGGAATTTTTGGTGTGATATTATTGACGAGCTTTGTTTGCGTATCTCCCGAATCGAGATCAATGGTGATTACATCCCCACTGATAGTTGAAGGTATAATCTTACCAATATTGCTCTTCATACTATCCCAGCTAGGCCATTGTGCGCCGGCGTCAGAAAAGACATCGTCTCGTGGTGATGTAGAGGCTCCGCCAATAAGGGTTAGTAGAAGCCAGGCCCAGAATAAAATAGTTAGAAATACGAAGGCTGTGCTCGCCCAGGCATTTGGGCCTCCAAGTGCCGCCCAGTCAAGCAATGAGCGACGATTCCGACCTCGATCTGTGCGACGCTTTTTAGGTCGATCTGGATTTTTTTTGGAAGGGGGAAAAAATTCCCGGCCCGAGTCGCTGGACGAATCATCATTGTTAAAGGGTTGATTACGCCTGCGATTGACACGTTCGTCGTCGGCTACATCTTGATATCCGGCAAAATTATCGGGCACGTTACCGAGAGGGTTCATATCTTCCGCCACCGGAACCGTAGGAAAGCTGTCGGACATTTGACCATTATTAACATTCCCGTCAGTGTTTATAATATTATCGTTATTAGCCGCATTGAAGGCATCTTCGTCGGGAATAGTATCAACGGCAGGTCTATTGTGAACATTGTTTACAGCGTCGGAATTAGCTTGACGGATATGTTTGGCAACATACTCCTTCCTCAACGCTTTTGCTTGCTGACCATGCTCGGCGCGCTCGGTAACTCTGTCAAACTCGGCCATGATTTTTGCCGTCGTCGTTTCATCGTTACCCATATCCTGTATTAAGGCTCTTACCGCCCGTATTTCTCGTGGCGTCAGATGGTCTAACATGTAATCAGGGGTAGAAGCTACGTCGAAATGTAGCTGCCGTGGGGACGTTCGCATGTCTCGGATGAGGTTTGTCACCCTCTGCCACTGAGCCGAGGTCAAGTGTGGCTCATTAGTGGTTTCTTGAGGCCCTGAAGGTGTAGGGCCGTTGTTGTTAGCGGGAGGATAGATGGTTGCGGGATTGTTCCCACTCGGATCTGTATACCCGATATCTTGGGCCATGTAGCTGCCGCCCCCGTAATAAATAGGCTCAGTTTCGTTTACCGAAAGTCCAAGCGCGGGTGCCTGGTCGTCTCTGCTTGAGGGTGTCGTGAGCGATGCGTCACTATACAATGCATTCTCGGTAGTGAAACTCCTTGACGAGTCAAGACGTATAGGAGCGCGTGCAGGAGCAACAAATGGTGTAGAGGAGGGAAAGGGGGCACCTCGTCCTGTTGGCACTCCGTAGAAAGAGCCTTCAGAGGGCGACGGTGCCGATGGATGTGCATTGTGGATAAGAATTTCAGGATCAGGGGATCTATACTGAATAGGAGCATACGGTGGTTTCTGATTGTCATTCCCCTTGGCCGTGAACATGCGGCCCAGCTTAGTTACACCAGGACCCTTGTAATCGTCGACACGCTGGGTCTGGGATCCGTGTTGAGCGGAGTGCTGGACGCTTGGTTGGGTATTCGGTTGATAGGAATCATCCACCAGAGCCATGTTTGACCCCAGCGCATACCCTTCAACGTTCGTTCCCTCGTCGACTCCATTGTCTTTTTCGGCTTCCTCGACGGTTTCTCCAACGATTCTTTTGAGATCATTCTCCATAGTATAACGCTTACCATCTTTACTATTCATTCGTCTGGTAAAGCGTTTATCTTCGTCATCCTCATTAACGAATCCAGGTTTGGCCTTTCTACCTCGACCCCTCTTCGCAGAGTCGAGGTTTATATGCGTATTGACGCCATATGATCCGTCATGAACTGGATATAGACCAGGAAGATCTGCTGGTGGCGGTTCAGAATAGAACTTTTGGCGCGCGGTGTTAGGAGTGCTACTTGTGCCAGTAGCACGGCTTCTCGCACGAGTGTTACGTCCAGACATGATATATTAAACCGGATTGAACCCGGCAAGAACACTAAGAAGGACCAGGTTAGCAAAGTATAGGAAGGACTCGTTATAATGCGCAACACTCTATGTGTGAAGGAGTCAAGGCAGCGGGCCCGAATGAGACGATGTGAAATATAACATGATTCTCGGCTTCAGCCCTCTTCATGTGAGGAATGATAAGAACTTATAAAGTAACCATTGAGACGAGGATAAAAATTGCGCTGCTAGAACGTACCTAAGCTCACCCCTACCCCAGAATTCAAGATATAGGTTTAAGTCACTTCACGGATCATACGCAATGAGCCTTTCGCTGAGACGGTTGGTTGATCTGAGGGATCACGATGAAAGATGAAGGAATAATGTAATGTTGATGAATCCTTTTTTTGATGGAGGTAGATGTAGATGAATAGATCTAGATCTGTTCATTCTCCCGTTGTCCTAGCCACCTTGCCTAATACCGGACCTCACGCGATGATGCGAAGCTGAAAGCGTCCTGGCGCAAAAGTAGTACTATGCTTTGTTAAGGGCTACTAGAATTACTAGAGCTACTACAGCGCACAAGGGCGGGAGTCTACCGGGTCCGGCGACACTCTGTAGGTGTAGTACTAGATGCATAAAGGTTGCGATCCGGAGTTGTTAAGCTAGGAAGAGACTTGATGTGAAGTTTCCGAAGACGGCTTTGAGCATGAGGTGCACAATGCTTTTCTTTGCTCTTTGTAGTTAGGTATCTTTATTGGTGCATCTAGAATCGTCAAAGAAACGATTGGAATGAACTTGTCGAATTGGTCAAAATGCCGACGACATAATTCATAACTGATCGTATATTTCAAAATTGGAAATAAATTAAGAAGAGGGAGGAATTAGGGTATCAGAATTCCAAGCATACATAGAATTCCAAGCTTGAAGTTATCCGGTCGCGTCGCGCCGCGCATATGGAACAACCTATTTAGGTAACAATTTAACAATTTAATAATGTAGGTACAACCTTAGGTGGTCTCGAGATCGAAAAGTCGGGCTTGATAATTCACGGCGCCACACATGGACGTAAACGTTAAACGCGTAAGCCACGATTTCTTGGCAAGCTGTATTTCATTAAGGTACCTATTTTATTGTACCTAATATATATTACCTAAGCTGCTTGCCTTACCTAAGAGTACCTAATTGGAGAGGTACCATTTAGCATTCCCGGCCGGATGGAGCAAGTGGGGTAAATTAAATATATTAAATATTAGTTTAATAGCTATATATAATACGCCTTTTATAATAATGTTATTTAATAAATTTTTATTAATATTTAATAAAGGTTTTTTATATTGAATAGGAGTAAAATAACTCTTGGAGTAAGGCTATATATTTAACGTATTAGGTCTTTATAAAAAGTATCTTTAATAGTTAAAAATAATATTTTATTTTCGAATATATAATTAGGTTATATTAATTAAGGGATAAAATATAAGTTTAAAGAAAAAGGAATAAATATATTTAATGTAAAAAAAAGTATATATAATAGGTATAAATGATTATAAAATTAATAAGTATATATAATATTTAACTATTTTATTATTTGAAATAAAAAGATTAATATTAATAATTATAATTAAGAAAATATAACGATTTAAGGACCTTATATGGTTTTTAAAGTTAAGATTATATAATAAACTTTTATATATAATATTATTATAACATTATATTTATTTAATATTTTTTAAAGTTAACAATATTAGCCATAGTAAGGTAATTTTAATAAATAAACCCTATATTTAACGCAAAATTTATTAATTAATATACCTTTAATAAAAATAAAGCCTTTTAATAATCTAAATTTTTTATATTTTTATTTTTAAATTTGATAATCCTAACTCACTTTTTAACCCTTATAACAACGTGTTTAACATAACTTTTAGTTTAATTAATAATTTTTTTAAATTTAAGCCTAATTTAATTAAGTTATATTTTAAATTTATCTTAACCTAGCTATTTAATTGGGAAGTTAAACTGTAATTGGTTAGTAGTATTTTTATATATATTAATAATTTATTTATAAAGCGTAAGTTTCCCATATTTATATTAATTAATTTTATATAAGCTAAGGTTATAAGAATAACGTTTATTTAAATTTATTATAATTAAAAAATCTTCGATTGGTATATTACTATTATTAATAAATAGTTTTATTAATTGTTTTGGTATTTTTGATATGTTTAAAGCTTTGGTTAATATTTCTTTAAGTATTAAAGGTTTAATCTAAGTAATAAAAGTCTTAAGTTAAGGTTAAAGTTTTAATTTAAGTTTTTTTTTGGACTTTTTGTTTTTTAAAGGTTATAGGCGTATTGGTAATTTTAAACTCTTACTTAATTTATTAATTATTTTAATATTAAGGTAAGTTAAAAGTGTTTGTATATACTATTCAAGTAAGGGGTAAATATTTACTTTACGTTTAATATTATCGAGTAAGGCTTTTAAGTTTTTTATAATTAAATATATTGTAAGGGTATATTAATATTTATATGTTTATTTGTTTTCTTACTTTATTATATTAAATGTAGCTATTTTTTTCGATACGTAAATTAATTTCCACTTTTTAAACGTTATTATTAATTATTTATTAATATAATTAGTTTATTACGTAATTTTATTTTTAATTATATTAAATATATAAATATATTTTTATTTAAATGTATAAATAATAAAGAGGTAGTAATAAATTTTGTTAGTTGCTTTTCTTTTTTTTTCTGAATCGGTTAGATTAATAAATATTAAAAAAGCCATTATTTTAAAAAGATTTTTTAGGATTTGCCTTATCTCTATATTAAAGCTACCTTTAAATAAATAACCAAATATTTAATTTAATATTGGTTTATAAGCCTTAACATAATTAAAGATATTAAATATTGTTAATTTTTATAAAGCTAATATTTACTTAATATAAAATTACTCCTTCTTTTTATATATTTGCAGGATATAAATAAGTTTAAAAAATAAATTATTTTTCTATTTATTTTTATTAATCTTTAACAGCAATATTTAAATATTAAATAAATTATTAAATTAATTATTTAAGGATATAATTTTATTAGTAATAATTGTACGTTATTAGTTAAAATTGATATAATTATTGGGACGGGGTAATAAGTTAGTATAAATAACTAAAATAAATAAATTAATATTATTATACGCGGTTAATTAAATATTGTTTATTTTTAGCTTAATAAAAAAAAAATTAAACATTTTAATAATAATAAAATAGGAAGGTACTATTAATAGGTAATAATATAATATAATATAATAAATTTGAATTTAATATTAAAATAAAAGTTATTTTAATTAAAAAAATAAAATATTTTTAATAATATTATAAAAAAAAAAATAGGATAATAATAAAATGATATAGTTAATAATCTTTTTATATTATATCTTAAAACCTTATTATTTCCAATTAGGAAAGCCTTAATTGGTTAATAAGTTAATTAAAAGGTGTTATATATACGTACAAATATTTATATTTTTTAATATAGGGTAACCATTATAATATTTACGATTTATATAAATACCCTTTTTTCCTCCTACCCTTCTTTCCTTTAAAAAATATTTCGTTTAAATCTTTTTAAAATAAATACATTTTTACTTTTATAACTATCTTACCTTTTTTTATTAACGTTTAATTAATTTTTAGTTAAATTGTAAGTTTATTTTGCTATTTTTGCAATAATATATCGTTTATAATAACTCTTTATTTTTCGAATTTTATTATTTTCGGGTAATTTAATTAAAATGTTTTTTTTTAAAACTATTAATAATAAAACTTTTAAAAAATTTACTATTTTTTTATTTTTATATATTTTTTCTTTTAATTGCAATATTTTAAACGTTTTATTTAACAATTACGATAATAATATCCGTAATAATAATAATAATAATAATATTTTTATTTCTAGGCTTTATTTTAATTTAAAGGTTTTAAAATGTTTTAATTAAAGATTTAATAAGTTTTAAATAATAAAATATTGGTAAATAATTAATAATATAAAAAAGTTTTATCTTCCATTTTTTTGGTTTATAAATAACTTAACGTTTAATAATTGATACGCGTTTTTAATAATTAGTAAATATAGCTACTTAAACATATAGCTATTCAATTTCTCGATAATATAGCAGTTAGTTAATATATTTATTAAATAATTATTTATAAACAATTTTAAATATTATTAAAAATTTTAACGCCGTATATTAATTATATTTAAAATTAACCTATAAATAGTTTATTTTTTATTTATATAGATATTTATTAAGGTAATTTAATTAGGTAGATTATATCTTAACTATAAAATTTAAAATATATTTAAAAATTAATCGTTTAAATTTATAATTATTTAAATAAAATTTTATATTATATTTATAAAAAATATTTCCGGTTTTTTAAATCTTCGATTTATATTAATATATAGCTATTTTTTAGCTACCGATTAGTACCTAATTAATTTAGTAATAATTGCAATAATTATTTATTTGCAGTAAAGTAATGTTTATTTCAGGAATTTTAGTTTTATTACTTAAAAGTTAATTATAATAGGGATTTTTTTATTATTAAAAATTTAATGCTAGAGAATTTATTATATTTAAAAGAATATTATAGTAATTTGTTATTATAGAAGGTTTTTAATAAATAAAATAATTTTATTATAATAAAATTTAATAATAATAAATATATTAAATTAATTAAATTACGTTTTATATATATACCTTATAAATTTTCTAATTAATTAATAATAAAAGAAAAATAGTTGGTTTAGATTTTTATATTTTTATTTTTAATAAATAACAATTTAATTTTCCTTTATTTTTATTTGGTTTAAATTTATTAAATTTAATATTAATATAGTTATTATAACCTTTTTTTATTCTTTTAGATATTTCGATTTAAATTTATTTTTTAAATTGTTAAATTATTTTATAATTATTTTCTTCAAACTTTACTATATTCATATTTAATATTT